TACGGTCCCGCGCGAGCGCCTTTTCTTGGAGGCGAATAACCTGACCCCCGGCTCGATGAGCGAGCTATGGATAAATCAGAGAAAAGTACCGGAGGAACACAGGATTTAATTCTGTGTGGACAGAGTTATCTGCTTTCACAGCAAACGATGCTGGTTTACCGGTATGTTTGATATGTAGAGAGAAGTTGTCAACGGTGGTGCAGCCTTTACGTATCGAGGAACAACAAGGGAGAGGAAGACAGCTGACGATCTTCAGTCCTAATTCAATGGGGTATGTCACTTGTTTCAGAAAACACTTTTTGTTATATTCCATGGAATGCTCTTAACGTCCCGATAGCAATGAATATATTAAATGCTTTGACAATAAATACATACAAAAATTAATCTCTGGAAGCCGTGGCGCTGTAAAAAACACGACCAATCATCTGAGCCGGCCCGGCTAAAGTAACTGGATGGCCTACCTGCCTGTCAGCCTTCCATCTGTGCACAAACTTATCTCGTGCCCTCATTGGTCATGTGCGCGTTCGTGTGTGTTGGAGGAGGGACTTAAGAAAGTCTGAAGGAAGAGGCATATTTTTTCCGGTTGTGTACTTTCAAAATTCTAGCGCACTCGAGCTGGTTTCTCCATTCTTACGTACCCTACCTTTAACTCTTTTTAGGGTGCAGCTATATGTTTTATTTATTTCAAAGTGGGCCCATTTTAATAATATTTGTTTTCCTTCAAATGTGCAGAGGACTCCCAAGTGCTGTGTTTAATTTATTTTAAAGTAGGCCTGTGTATTATTTGTAATTCTCCTTATAAGAGTTCTTTGTTTCTTATTAGAGGTTAACAGTTTTATATCATGTAATAAATAGCCTAATAAATGCAAAAAAACTGTAGTTTTTGTCTGATATAACAATAAAAAACGATGAAATATGTTTTGCGGCTCCAGACAAAAAAATGTTTTGGAAAAAGGAGCAAAATGGCTCTTTTGGTCAAAAAGGTTGCAGACCCCTGGGCAAGGGGAACCAAAGGGAAGCGACACGACCAGAGTGGAATTGGTAACAATTATAAGTGGTTTTATGTACAACAGGAGATAACAAAGGCAGGCAATCAGCCTGAAACAAACCAAAAATGCCAAAACGGCTGTTCTAACCAGCAACAAAAGGAGAACTCCAAACGAGAGTTGTAAAGCTTATTCAGCGTACTAGGTAAAGGAGAAAACAAAACCTCACGTTAAACGTGGTACAAATGAAATGAGGAAGACTGCACACACACAGCTGTAGCTGGTCAACAAGTGCTAATTACCTGGGTCTAAGCTGATACACGTTACACTAATCCTAAATGCTGATCAACAGGAGCTAAACTACCTGGGTCTAAGCTAACACAATATCACACACAACCAGTGGCGGCGGGTCATTAGGGGCAGGTGGGGCACAGCCCCACCTAGTGTCAGAAGAAAGTATTACAAATAATGATTACAAAAAAATACAAATAAATAAAAAAACATATAAAATATATTTTAAGGTCATGTTTAATAATCTGATTCGTCTGTACATTTCTGTTTTAGTCTGTGTTCTTCTAATTAGTGTCTAGAGTGCCGTTTTGAGCTGTTTAGAGCCATGTGGGACAAAACCCGATCCTGCCCCTCCCTCTCACAGTCTAAGTGAACGGTGATTGTAAAAACTACACTGCGCATGCTCAGAGTATTTTTCTATTTAATGTGTGTGGCAAAAAAATAATGACCGTAGGGCCATAGTGCTCCCATCCCCACCATACGTCATCTCACATAATTCAGAATTGATTGGCTGTAAGTACTCACGTGTGCAGTGCTGCGAAACGTCACGTGTAGTTTGAAGAGGAGACGAGAGAGCAGCATATAGCTAACATCACCAGCGATTAAAAGAAGTAAAAAACTGAAAGAAAATGAATGAAGTTGACCATTTACTGGAGCACACATTTGAGACACTTAGTCTCGGAGAGAAACTGGAGGTAAAGCGCCTCGGTGCCCACCATCCACCGGATTTCCAAATGGTCCAGACTGCGGGCAAAGTTAAACGTGGGTTTAACGCTGAGTGGTTTGCTAAAAAGAAATGGCTAACGGCGAGCATCCAGAAGAATTCCCTCTTTTGATTTCCTGGCCTGCTTTTTGGTGAAGATCAAGGTACTTGGTCGAGGACAGGTTACAAGGACTTAAAGCATCTTTCGGAGAGGACAATGAAGCATGAGAGCAGCAACAGTCATTTGGAAAATGCCGTAAAATTGGGATTACTTGGAAGGGTGAATGTTGCAGCTCAGATTGACAGCGCCTACAGACGCGGCATTGATTCTCATAATAGGAAGGTGGAAGAAAACAGGTACGTGCTTGGTCGGATCATCACCTGTATTAAACTGTGTGGGAAATGTGAGACAGCACTGCGGGGCCACAACGAGTCGGCGGACTCTCTGAATCCAGGGATATTCAGGTCAATTTTCGAGACAATGTGTGAGGGCGATTCCAGGCTTCAACGGCACTACGAAGCTCAGCTTGTTTTCAAAGGGACATCAAGCACCATACAGAATGAACTCTTGGACTGCATGTATGATGTGTACAGGGAGGAAATAGCCAAGCAAGTGGACAACACATCATTTGTTGCCGTTCAGTCCGACGAGACAACCGATGTCTCCTGTAAATCGCAAATGGTGATTGTGCTGCGATACATTATGCCTGACCTCACAGTTACAGAGCGTTTTTTGGAGTTTGTGGAAGTAAAGGACAAAACTGGTGTAGGTCTCTCTAACAGCATCAAGGCTGTTCTGGAACCCCTGAAGCTGAAAGAAAAGCTAATCGCTCAGACCTATGACGGGGCGGCCGTCATGAGTGGTAACGTGCGCGGGGTACAGACGGTGATGAAGGAGACGTACCCAAACGCTCAGTTTGTTCACTGCTACGCCCACCAACTGAACCTGACCCTGCAGCAACTGTGTTCAGCAAGGATGAGCATCCTGAAGGTGTTTTTTGCAGATCTAACTGCTTTTTCCACTTTTTTCTCCGGTGCTCCAAAACGTGTTGCAGCTCTTGCAGAGGCAACACAGAGACGCATCCCACGGCCACCGGCTGTGAGATGGAACTTTAAAAGCAGAACTGTGAACGCGGTTTGGGAGACCCGAGATGCACTACTTCAGTGTATGAAGCATATACGCGCACAACCAGGATGGGATGCGGTCACCATAAGTGAGGCATACGGCCTGTCAAAGAAACTGCGGGACCGAGCATTTATGCAGCTCCTGGAGTTTTTTTCGTTGCTTATGCCAGAAGTGGATGTTCTATACAACACTCTGCAAAAACGAAGCATCGATGCACCTGGGATCAACAGCGCGCTCTGCCGTTTCAAGGAAAATGTTCAGAAAATGAGGCAGAAAACTGATGCATTGGCCGCCACTGCTCATGATGGAACAGACGAGCCAGGCCGACGAGTCAGCAGCACAGCGCCGGTGATGAAGGAGGCTTGTGACACAGTCATCTCACAGGTGGAACAGAGGTTCTCACAGAGTGACCATTTGATCGCTGCAAAGCTTGTTGACAGCTCATTCTTCCCACAGCATGTCCTGTCATTTCCTACACCTGAGCTTGACTGCGCCGTGAAACTGGCCTGCGTTGGGAAACAAGGAGAAGTTGAAGTCTGAGCTGACCACGCTCTACCGCCACAGTGAGCTTCACACTGGAAACACTGCCCTGTCTCTGTTGAAATCCATTCACGAGAACAACTTGGAGGAAACGTTTGCTGAGACTGTTATTTTGGTCAAAATAATAGTGACAACTCCGATGACGACATCCGAGTCAGAGAGGAACTTTTCCACCCTCAAAAGGATAAAGACTTTCACTCGCAACACCATGGGACAGCCGCGACTTAACGCATTGGCCATGCTTTCAATTGAAAGCCAGTTGATCCAGCAACTACAGGACTTCATCCCCAAAGTGATAGACACATTCTGTCAGAGGAAGGACCGCCGTGCCGCTTTTCTTTCAAGTGAGCCTTCAGCTTTGGTAAGTTCATTTATGTCATATATTTTGTTGATCTTCTGTGTTTTGCCTCTGCTGGATCGATTGATATTGTGACCTCGATGATGAGTGTCTGTGTTTTCCTTATATTTACAGTCTATGGTGTTTTAATGCTAAAGCATTACGGTTGTTGTTATTGTTAAGAATTACTTTGTGATGGTGACCTTTACTCCATGTATGAAGGTGCATTACTATGACATCCCCACGCTGTGTACGTAAATGTATGCGCTCACAGTGTTGCTCCTGTGGTCTTCAGTATGTAATTTGACACTCCCCCCTCTCTCTCTCCTCCCCCCCTCTCTCCTCCCCCCCTCTCTCTGTCCCCCCTCTCTCTCTCCTCCCTCTCTCTGTCCCCCCCCTCTCTCTCTCTCTCCCCCGACCTCTTTCTGCCCCCCCAGTTTTGTACACCTAGAAACGCCACTGCACACAACACACTACTTAGCACTCTGCTAGGCAGTCTAACTAAGTACAGAGGATTACAGGGTTTACGAACACAACAAATGATGTAACTAGAGGCGTCTGTCTTTCCACACAGAGCCTCCAGAATGATCTTCGTCCCCGTCCTTTGTACTCCTCCCCCGGATGACGTTCCGGAAGCGGGCGGGGATTGGATGACGTCACTCCAATCACCGTTTCAGACGTGGCGAGGGCGGGACAGCCAATTGTATCAGGAGAACTGCGCAGCTCATGCACACACACACACACACACACACACACACACACAGTTAATAGTCCCAGGAAGGCAGCGGCTGTAACAGCATCGAATATTTTTCAAGGCAAAGTTAAACCCACTGCAGCCTTGCACTTCCCCAGGAGAGATCGCTGTAACTGAAGCTTCGAGAAATAAACCTATTTCCGACACAATTGTCCAAGTGGTTCGATGCTTCATTCAAAGCTTCATTTTGCCATCACTAAGTACCACAACTTGGTATGTTCGATGGTCATTGCAAGTATTTACAGAAAAACTCAGACCAAATATGCAGAAACAGGTCATTTATTCACAAAAGACAGGGACACATCAGTGACAAAATCGAGGGCATTATCATACACTAATTTGAGTCCATTATGCACTCGTCTCTCACCCCACAAACACACAACCACACACACACTGCAAACGATACATTTATAATTCTTTCTACAGATTGTCTGGCAGTATGGTTAGCTGGTTTACGGCCCCATTCCTGAGGCTCTATCAATAACTTAACAATCACACAAAGAAATGTGTGCTATACAGCACAGATTAAACATTTACTATTATCAGAATCTATGTACATGTTGTGACACTGCAGTGAATTTACATTGAAATGTGATTCAGCTACATTTCCAAAAACATATATATATAATATATATATATACAATATTGTACAAAATAAACAATAAAAACATGATGATCATGTTAAAACCTGAAATACAGTTTCACTAGGTCTCTGCTGTTCAAACCAACTTGTGAAAACATCAGCAGAGCAAGCTACTCACACAACACAACACAAATGTAAATAACAACACAGATAAGGCAGATTGTTCTTTCAAATTCACAAAATAATCTGTGAACAGTCAGCGGACAACAACAGCAAAAACATTTGTATCAGAAAGACAAGATGTAGCAAGAAGTAAAAGAATAGCTACATTGAAATCTGTACTGTAAACTCAGAGAAGATTATGAAAATGTGCTTTAAGTCTGAAGAGGTGGGGAAGGCTTGCTCCTACGTTTGGTGATCTTATAATGACAAGAATACATATGAACACAGTGTGTGGAGGTTGATAAAAAACTAAAAAAGCAACTAATAGAGAAACAGGGTCGATGACATTTGACACAAAAGTCAAAATATAGCAGGCAACAAGTCTAAACTGTACACATTGTAGGTCAGAGAAGAATACAGTATTACCTTAATATTTTTGTCCCACACAACTCCCACTAGCAGATGAGGCTGACATCAAGACGTGACAGTTTTGTACATGTTCATTTACAACACTTCTCTCTCTCTTTATTACCGCCATTCTGTCAGTTTATGTCATATATTCCTCTATTTTTCCCTTTGAAGAGTCCCTATTTTGCTCATTTTTAGGTTGATGTTTGTATTTTGAGCCTCTACTGTGACATGTCTCCATGCTTTAATGTTCAAAAAGCTCTTTATTTTCATCACACTGCCTGTGCTGCAGCACCTCTTTTCACCCTCTGTCTGAAACCAGAGCTCATAAATGCATGATAGGGCCCCTTTAAAGCGATCTCTATTTCCATCACACCAATTTCCCCTCTCCTATTCAGGATTGTTATTCAGTTCTTGCTTTGTCCTTTAAATAATTATCACAACTTTTTTTCTTTCCTCTTCCCACCCTCGTTCCCTTCAGTTTCGCTCACACTCTCCTCTCCTTGGTCCATTGTGAGCATTTCCTCCGAATCGCCGTGGCACTGTGACGCAGAGCGAGGCATTGCAGAGTTGTTGTTGTTGTTGCAGCAACGGGAGGCAGAGCGAAATGTAGCAGAGCTAGTGGAGAGAGGTGACGGTGTGTCCTCGTCTCTGTCAGGGCCGGAGCTGCAGGAGGGAGATGGAGGAGGCAGGGAGGAGCAGACGGAGGGCTGGAGGAGAAGAGGTCAAGACAATTATTTGTTGTATAAAGATTTCTGAAAATGTGGATAACCATATGTAAATTAGGAATTCTCTTATGAAATATGTGTTAAAAGAAAAGAAAAAGAAAATTGATAGGAATGAAATTGAATAGTTAGATGTTTGGGAAGATTTCTGGCTCAGAGTAGGAGGAACAAAATTGAGACGGCCTTTGAAGATTTGTAAAATAAAAGTTTGTTACCACCATAACATTTTAAGTTTTCTAAAATATTTGGTTTGATATACAAAGAAGGCGTTATCTAATGCCCTCTTTTAGTCAATGCATCTACAGACGCAACATACATCTGCTTTTGGTTTCAGGTGTATGTTTACCTGTAATGAGACACTGGACTTGTTGGTCTTCTCTTTGACTTTAGCCAGAGCCCCTTTAAGTCCTGTGGATCTCTCTGCCATCTCCAGGGCTGCTCTCAGCAGTTTGGGGGTTTCCGGTCTTACAGGGGCTGCCGGGGCCTGAGGGGGACCTTTAGGCTCTTTGGGCTCAGGTTTCTTTCCCTTGGTAAGCATCTTCCTGTGATTGAGACAGCAACAGACATCAGTAATGGTGTGATACATGCAGACAAAGCAACAAAGCTCTTGGGTAACTCTACTTCTGAGGCCCCAGTATATCTACAGGACAGATACAAGGCAGTAGGCCAAGTATTTTTTTGTTGTGGTTTCAAGATAATGATAATTGCTGCTGTGTGGTGCACTGATGTTTAACCTGGCCTTCTTGCGGAGCAGTTTCTTGGACTCTGGGTAGTGCACCAGGATCTCATTCAGGTCTTTCTTGTCCAGGATGAAGAGGTTGGCAAATCCATGAGCGATAACATTTGCTGTGCGCCGGTTACCCCCACCCACTGCAAGCAAACTGCCAATCACAGAAACTATGGTTAAAAAGCGATATTGTTAACTTTGCCATAAGTCAGTTGGACCTTTTAACATAACATTTTATGAATTTCATCCAAAGGTTTTAGAACAAAAGTAAAAAAAATCACACTTCATGATCGTCAGAGATGGCAGCTTAGATAGGCAAGAACTGTACGTAATAATGATTTGATAAATGTCCTCACCTGATCTCCCCGAAGACTGATCCCGCTCTGAGAGTGACAAACACGGTCCTTCCATCCGGTCCCCCGACCACCTGCACCTCCCCCGCCTTTATGATGTACATCTCACGACCCACCTCCCCCTGAGCAATATAAAGAGAAGAAGAGGCAGATCATAAGAGGGACAGAGCAATACACATGGCAACAATGATAAGAAAAGTTGCCACATACACTTTCTACAAACAAATAAGTTTGCATTCTACCTTTTTGCAGACATAATCCCCAGGCAGGTAGACAACTGAGCGAAGGCTTTTCAGCATGTCGAAGATCATCTGTCTGTCACAACCCTGTCAAGATGGAGGACGAAAAGAGAGAAAGTAGTGATCTCTTGTGGCTGTCTTTATCACAAGTGTACTGGCTATGGAGTCATAACAGTGCCATAAATGGGTGAAAAAAGTATGTAAAATAAATAAAAATATATGCATAAATTGATAAAATATTAAATGTAGAAATATAAAAAAAAAAATGTAAAGAACAATTGTAAAGATTTATATTTTTAATAATTTACAAATTTATTTATTTATTTTGGCCGTTTTATGACTATATACAGCACAACTTGGTCTCACAGCAAGATTATAAACTAACTAAACCATGTCGGTCTTACTGAATCGTAGATTTAAGAATATACTGTATTGAGTACTGTATTCTTCTTATGTGTTTTTACCTGAAAAAGAGCGACTTTGCTGACGATGGAGTAGTTGACATCTATAGCGATGTCCAGACGCATTTTATCTGGCAGCTGAGTCAGCAGCTCCTGCTCATCTGGAGGGCAGATAATGAGAGGCACAGATTGACTGAAATGTGACGTGTATAAGAGATGAATGAAGGTGCACAGATCATGCTCTCCTTACCCAGCATGCCTTGTGATTGCCAGGTGTAGTTGTACCAGGTTTTGACACGGTTCTGCACGTCTTTGGGGATGCGATATGAGGACATGTATTTAATGGTGTTGTCCATACATGTGCGGTAGTAAGTCTGACCTGAAGTGGCTGCACCGACCACATCACGCATCTGACAAACATAACACCATTTTGCACAAAGAGGTTAATGGAATGCAATTGTGGCAAGTGTCTCTGTTTTTTTATACACACATAAGAATGCATAAGATCTAGAACTCCCCTTAATTTAAGGTGTAGAAAAATAATATCAATACAAAATGTAGAAAGATAGTACATAGAAAAACACTGCACTTAAAAGCAAAGTTAACTACATGCAAAACAGTACAGGGAAGAAGATTAAGTGTATCATTGTATTCGCTCTCGCAATGGAGTTTGTGTTTGCTTGAAAAATGTGTGAACGGCCTACCTGTCCAATCATGATTGAGAAGGCAAAGACTCCAACAAAGTAGTTGATGAGTTGAAAGACAATCTCGAACAGGGTGGTGGGGTCCGGCAGACCACCAATGGTGATCAGGGTCTTCACAGCAAAGTAGTAACAGCGAATGTAACTGAGCAGAGACAATGAGGGGAGGCATTACACAGAGACAGAGAAAAGATAATGTCTTCAAAATGATAACTTGATAAGATGTTAAATAAATGCCAACATATGGGACTAGAATAGACCAAGTGACTATATGTGACTGATTCAGGTAAAAACCATCCACATTTTCACATATGATTTGATTTCTGCAATCAATATTTAAAAGTTTTCAAATGTTTTGGAAATGTCCCAAAAACCTTCTGCAGCATGTGGAGCAGCTTGACAAGATGCTCGCCACCAGGGGCAGATGTTATGTAGCAGTACAGGGTTGTAGTTTATTGATTTGTTTGTGTCTCAATTACAATGTTTGTCACATTATTAAATAAAATTACATATACATATTTCTATGAATCATGGAATTCATTTACTACTATAGTCATTAAAAAAAGTAATGTGTGTGTGGTTCGTGTGTGAATGGGTTAATGGCACTGACCTGTTGCCTTTGCCGTTGTACACCCACTGTGTGGAGCCCAGCCCTGTGTAGGCAGAGCCCCAGTAGTACAGGCAGGCATTACAGTGGAGACAGTAGAGAAGGTAGGTGGTGGTGCGGATCACCCTGGGAGACAGAAAGCAAAGAATTTAAATAAACAGAATATCTCAAATCTGTTTGCTCATCTCAAAGAAGGAAGGAAGACACCGTGACAGCAACAGAGATATAGAGAGGATTCATTTAAGGGCAGTGAGATATGCTGCAGCTGACCTGTAGATGTAGGCTTTGGTCAAGATGGCCTCTAGACGCTCGTTGAACTCAAAGAAGGAGTTTATCTGGGGAGGAAAAACAATGGTTAGTTTCAAAATTGGCGTTCTAACAGTTGGAAAATTGATAACTGAATAATTGACTTCCTATTTTTCAAAGCGGATAAACAGAGCCCTGGAAGTTAACTTCTCCTTTGTATTGATGCCACACTGAAAATAGATGTGATATCCTCAGTGTCCGCTGTTTGTAGCGTAGTGCATTTATGTGAAAGGATTCTTGGTGGTTTATTAAAGCAGTAATAAAGCTCACCTTCAGTAACCGGGGTAAACGAAGCAGAGGGTTGATGCCAGTTTTAAAATAGAAGATCTCCAGGGGAACAAGGCTGGCTAAGTCAAACTGAAAAATAGAAATGTAGCACCTAATTAAATAAATGAAGTAAAGCAAAAAACACTTCAAATGTTACTTTATTTCAACTCAAGTAACTTACCTTGAAGCGTTTGGTTTTCATGTAATTCTTTCTCATCTCTTTTTTGTCACACTGTAGTAAAAAAACAGATTGCAGGTATGAATAATACTCAAACGTTGTATTTCCTTTAAAAACAAAGCTTAGCTATGTGTTCTTTTTTTTTGTTCACAATAAAACAATGTTTCCTAGGGCTTGGCAATTAATCAAATTGTATTTTCAATTACTATTGTGCCTTTCAACAGTTATGACATTAAGATGACTGTTTTGAAACAATATATTTTCAAGCTGATTTTCGGTTGAATTCAGTTTAAAGTGAAATAATTTGTTAAAAAGATTTTTTTTTTTTTAAAGTTGCATTAAGGCATGATGTTTCCGAAGACAATCAGCAATTGTGTGAAATAAAATGTTATCATGTTCCCAGTGTCCCCCTCACCACTATGTCTCCTCCACGGACGAACTGCAGGCGCGGCTGGAAGATGGTCATGTCCAGGATATAGATGAGGTCACACAGGTAGTCGGTCAGCAGCCAGTAGTAAATGTTGTCGGGGGTCTGGTAGGGGAAGGCCCAGCGCACCGGGATGAACCAAGCGTTCCAGTTCCACGCAAAAGAGACCAAAAACATCCACAGCACGTACATCAAGTCTGAGGAGAGAGGCAGAGGAACAAGGGAGGGAGGGAGATGGGTCTAAGGAGAGACTGAAATCAACCAGCACTCATATGATATGCCAGTAACTACAGAGTGATGGAAAAAGAGCATGAATATGAATGTACAGTAGTTTGAAGCTTAATTTATAACGTTAACCATTTAAATTCTTAATCGATATATATATATTGTATTTATTTCCTGGGTTTTTCTGCACAGTTGCAGATCAAGATGATGCTACGCTGAAGCTATTTATACTTATGCTATCTGTTGAAATAGAGGTGGCTTGTGTAGGATATTTTAATACTGTGATGGAAAGATTTCCAGAAACTTTAGACTGTGTTAATTACAAAAATAAGGAATTTGGTACAGCCGTAAAAGCAAGCAGGATAGGATCTGTGATAAAAAGCAACATGTGGATTATACAGAACTTCGTTGTATGCCAAAGTAGAACAATTGGTTGTGGAGAATGAACTAGCTCCTTAAGTCCTTACGAATGAAGGGAAAGAGGGAAGATGAAGGGGTGAATGACAGAGGATGAGAAGACAGGTGCATGTAACTGGACAGTACTGTAGATTCATCTTTACCCAAACCCCACAGTGCTAAACCATTGCACTCTGGTTGCATATAAACACACTTAAAACACTTTAGTTCTTTAATAATGAGCAGTAAACCGCTCAATTCATTTCAATAAATGTCAGAACTTTGAAAAGTGTTAGTCTGTGAGTTGGGTAAAGGAGCTTCTAGTGTAGAGCAGGGTGGTGTTCGGGCAGCGGGGGGGAGATTCGGCTGGGTTCTCACTGGTGAAAGGGTCGATGCTGGCAGGGAAGCGGTAGTGCACACAAGCGAGTATCCACCGAGGAGCTTTCACCTTGCAGCAGCGGCCAGACTGCTGCTCCTCCACTCCACTCTCCACTCCTCCTCCTCCTCCTCCTCCTCCTGAGGGGCCTGCCTCTTCCTCCTTCTCTCCTCCGACCACAGGCTGAGCAGTCGAAGTCTGAGGAGGAGCTGAGGAGAGGTGAGAGGGAGAAAGTCAGAAGAACTCGTAAGAGAGATAATAATATATGATCTGGAACATTCGTATTTTCTCAAAAAGGTTTCAGAATGAAGGAACTGTAACTACTTCTTTTACGCTACATGGACCAGATGGACCACCATTTTTTTGTTCTTGATCAACAAATATCTTACCAGTCAATTTGAATGAACGTATCAAAGGTATCATATATGAATATGAATGACACCTCTTTTTTGGAGCTATGTACACATTATAGGTGCCTGCCTCACAGCTCCTAAAAGAATGATAGCTTAAGCTGGAAACTACCACTTCCACAGCTTAACATTACATTTTGCCAAAAGACAAAATATTATCTGTGAGTCAAAGTGACTGTAGAACATATATTTAAAAAGCGTCTTATTATAAAGCTTTGTAGCTTACTGTCTTTCTCATGGTTTTTCTTTTTTGAAACCGTTAAACACTTCCTAAAGTGACTCTTACTTTGCCTAATGTTATGAACTTATGGTGCTTCCACCCTCATTTTTATTGAAACGATTAATACTCAGGAACTTGTAAAGATGTAGTGTGCACACTTCCCTTTTTCAACTGTAAACTGCTGATTTTGTCTCACAACCATCCAAATGTAGACCTGCGCAACTTCTTTATTACTAAAAGTGTGTACTGTTGTATATTGAGGATACACATGGCCAGCAGCCGGAAACAGGCTGGACAAAAAAATATATGTGAGATAATGAACAACTATTTATTTGTTTAATGTTACCTTGATCTCTTTAAAAAAGCTCCATGTGACAGGCAATTGTCCAGCTAGTATGAGACTATGTATATTTTATAATATAAATGTACATAATCAATCTCCAACATTTGGTTTTTATGAAAGTTGTGCATTTAGGAAGCCCATTGTGAAACAAATCAATCATATAACTATATCACACCATCAGAAAGACTGCATGTTAAAATGATTTTAAATGTAGTTATAGAAATGTTAATCTCTTATCCCTTACATTTTGATTAATAAAAAAAAAACGACATTTTGTTTGCAAATGTTGCATTGTTTGTTTCATATAGGGAAAATATATTTAAAAGTGTGCTAAAAAGGTGTAAATAAAGAAATCATGGGTTACCTACACTCCCTATAGTCTCAGAAACATTTGTGTGTAAGGATGCAAGGTTTTGAGCTGTACTGAAATCAGCCGAGGGTTACTAAAGGTGAAAGAGAGAAGCGGGCAGGGACTCACAGGGGTCGATGCTGTCTTCATCAGAGCTGTCCAGGTCTATGAGTTTCTCCTTCGCCTTCTCCGTTCTGTCTTTAAACATCCGGACCAGCTCCTGGAGACGCTCGTTCACCACCGTACTGGTCTGACTGGCTGACGATGCTGGCCGCTCTCTCATTCTGAGGAAAAAACAGATGAATACACTTGCATTGTTGTCCATTCAACACTGCATGTCAGCACTTTATTTAAAAACTCAAAACGTCAGTTAGTAGTAAGCAGTGCAGGGCCGGCCCTCGGCATAGGCAGTATAAGCGAATGCTAAGGGCGCATCAACCCATCGGGGGCGCCGAAAATTGGGGAGAAAAAAAAAAAAAAAGTTAGATATTAAAAAAATATATTTTTTGAGATTTCATAACAACACAATTTCCCGATTTTGGATCAACAAAGTACATCTTATTATCTTACACTAACTACGCCTATATTGCGTACAGCGCCCACAAACGGGAAACAGGCGCACCCCCCCCCCCAAATCAAGTTGAACTGCCCCAATAAAAACCAGAGGTTTATGTGAAATTGTTCTTTTTTTTAAATAATGGTTTTAGTGTGCAATTATAGGTTTTAATTTTGTATTTGTGTTAAGCTTTAGAGAGCTCTCTCCTGAAAGACTGAGAGGCTCTGATAACCTCAGCTCAGTGAGGTAAAGGCACACCTTTATATGATCATTATAGTTATAAAAAATAAGAGAATATATGACAAACAGGTATAAAATACTATGACAGTAAAAAAAATGTGTGTGTGTGTGTGCAACACGTTCTCACTCGTTTCCATTCATGTCAATTGCAGATACATGTTTAGTCTTCTCAAGCACCAACTATCAAATATCTCTCCTGATTGTTGGCACTTGACAATCACCTTACCTGAATTTTACTCAGGTGTAACTAAAGTCTGATTTAAGGGTTGTTTATATTTCACATAATTAATCAGAATCTGCAAAGTAACTCAAATAAATGCAGTGGAGTAAAAATACCAGGTTAACCTCTGAATTGTAGTGGAGTAGAATTACAAAGTAACAATGAGCTGTCATGTGGGTATATATTAATGGTATATATTAATGCTGCGCATTATGGACAGCGATTTTCACCCATTTATTAATGATATGTTTTACATTTGATAACACCGATGTGTTTAATACTGGCAACTTCTAATTGTGGGAAAAACGAAAACGTTCAGTAGAGACGTCCCATAGAACATTTTGTGAAACACAATAGTGTAGTGTGTGTAGTGTGTAGTTCTGGGGGGGCGTTCGATTCCAGTTTTGGATAGTCTGGCGTGGTTTCGTTCCATTTCAAACAGCTGTTTGACGCTCGGCGTAACCTTGGCGCACTGCCACTCCAACATCCAATCCCAGACCTTGAAGATTAATCACGGGGACTGTAGTCCGAAACGATAGCTGGGGATTATGGGTAGTGTAGTGTCTTCGGCCATCCTAATCTAAAAAATGTTGACAATCGCAATGATGCTCGAAATGTCCCTTATAGGCCTACGTCTGTTTCCGGTTATTTTTATTTTTGAAATTCAGTTCCTGACGGACGCCAAAAAAGCCCGAGATTATGAAATTAAACCAATAAATAAAAGCAAGGATAATTGTATGTTATTGGTGAGTAAATAACAGTGTGTTATTTTGAAAAGAATAACAAATTAGAAGGAAAAAAAGATTGAAAAAATACAGATTTCAGTATCCTGAGGCTCTGAGCTCCATTTATTTTCCTCACAGACGACAACACTAAAGGTCTAAAATAAAGACCTAAATGAATATTTGGGATGTTCTTGCCTTTAGATTCTCCCAATAAATCCAAGTACAGAGGGTGACTTTGCTGTGAAAAAACACATTTCCACCAAAAAAAACGTTAGCAACCATGAATGTGTACACATTCATGTAGTAATCTTCGTCATAACTAGCAAACTAAACATCATGTACAGCACAAATAATCAGAAATAAAAACTCATATTACTCGCATAAAATGACATCAAAACGCATTTTAATGGCCAAATGAATCTTAAAATAGGCATTTTCCACCGAGAATAACACGAGGGTCGGCCATTGTTGTTGATCACGTGGTCTGGGAGCTGTTGCAGTGTCCATAGCAACCACCCTAGCAACCATGAATGTGTACACATTCATGAAGTGATCTTCGTCATAACTAGCACATAACTAAACATAACATAGCACATAACTAAACATCATGTACATCCAGAGGCGCGGGAAGGTATTTTGAGTGGGGGTGCTGAGGTGCTGGACTCCAGTGAACACTATTACGGGCACTATAGAGCACGCACAAAAGCACTCCCCACACGCAAACACACAGTACACCCGCGACTGTTACAATGAAGGCTCGATAATCAGCTCACGGCATATAGGCAGGGGTAAAGTGCTATTTTTTACGAGTGGGGAGCGGACCTGACCTCCTCTAGGGAGGTCCGGAGGGATGCTCCCCCCGGGAAGATTTTTTTAAATATTGAAGTTAAAAGCATCAATCTGGTGCACTATGGATACATCTCTCAACACCCAGATGAAACACAACTGTAAGCAGATGTTCTTTTTCTTTATGGATATTTTACAAATCACTCCTCTTTCAAACTGTATTCTTGTTTTACTGCCATATAGTATTTCATAACTGTTTTTCCTTTATTCTCTTATTTGTTTTATAACTATAATGATCATATGAAGGTGTGCCGCGGAAATAATCTTTTGAATAATTTGTGACCAAAACCGTTTGAGACCCACTGAGATAACTTAGACTAAAGTGAACTATCTAAACACTCAGAGAGTCCTTTAGCTCACCTGAGCCTCTCAGTCTGAGAGGAGAGCTCTCCTCCAGCTTGTTGAACCAACAGCTCCGTATGTCCGTTAGTGCAGCTGGCTAACCCAGATGCTAACAACACGGTCCCTGCTGCTGGCACCGGTCCCTCTCTCTCTCTCTCCCTCTCTCACACACACTAAATGCGCTATTTCCGCACACACACAGAGCCGAGCTTGAATGACACAAGCACACTTTTATTTCCATGCTACTCTCTGATTGGTCTGGTGTCCTTGCCTTGCATTCACTGAACACGGGAAATTACAGTTCTATTGATTGATTGATTGAAAAGTGTATTAACAGCTTGTATATTGGATACAGTACAGTACAGCTCAAAACATACAATTGTTAAGGGGATGCAGACCAGAGAAATACTTTCGTCTTGTTTACATCAGGGTCCCCCATTTCCAATTCATCATATCATTTAAGACATATAAGACATATTTGACATACAGATGGCTTATTTACAATTTACATACAGGTGGGGTTTTTTACATACAGATTGCTTGTTTACAATTTTCATTTTAGATTTCGTTCTAATACATCCTAACCGGACATTTAAGACATACCAAGTCTACAGATATACAGTTAGTAACAGAGTCTAAAATGCGAGTATATACATAGATGGGGGGGGGGGGGAAGCTGTCCATTGAACGACAGGTTGAGATTTGTACCATTACCGGGGCCAGTTTTGCAATGCTCTCCCCCGAAGGTGCTCTTTAAGAGAGGTTTTGAAGGTAAGTATAGTTTTACTTTCCTTTACAGTTGTGGGAAGAGCGTTCCACCTTGATGTGGCATAATTGCGAAACGTGTATTCCCCCTTTTTTGTGCCAAATCTGGGTTTCACATGATTTGTGGAGCTCCCTCTGGTGTTATGATCATGGTATTCCTTGACCTTTGGGAAGAATTTTGACATGTACATGGGTACCATAGAGGTGTAGTGGATCTTGTAGACCAGGCCCATTGCAAGTAGCTGTACTCTGTCGTCTACTCTAAGCCATCCTAGGTTGTCAAAGTGGGCAGAGGTGAGGTGGGTTCTAGATGAAAGGTCAAGCAGTAGTCTGACCAGTTTATTTTGCGATGTTTGAAGTTTTATTTTTAGCGCCTTGGAGGTGCTATGGTACCATGACGTGCAAGCATAGTCATAGTACCCTTGAATGAGTGCTCCTGCCAGAGTTTTCAGGGTGTTTTTGTTTACCAGAGAGGAGATCCGGTATAGGAATCTAGTTCTTTGATTGACTTTTTTATTACATTGGATGCCTCAAGAATAGATCCTAGGTATGTAATTTCCTTCTTACTTGTGACAATAATGTCGCCCACTGCAACTGAGAAGTCGTCGGATTTGCTGAGATTATGTTTCGAACCGAAGAGAATGGACTCTGTTTTACCCAGGTGTAATGATAATTTATTATCGGCGAGCCAGGTGCAGATTCTGCCGAGCTCGGAGCTGAGGGTTTTTTCAACCTGCAACCTGTTCCTGCCAGAGACCAGCAGGGCTGAGTCATCCGCGAACAGGAACAAGTTGCAGTCACATGCTGATGACATGTCATTTACATAAATTAGGAACAGTAACGGACCTAATATGCTTCCTTGTGGAATACCACAGCTCACTGGGAGGGGGGGGGGACAGAGTACCGTTTACCTCCAGCATCTGTTCTCTCCCCTCCAGGTAGGATTGCATCCAGCTCACCGATAGTTTATCAAAACCAATTGCTTTTAGTCCTCTCTATAGTGTCTTGATGAGGTTCACGTAAAGCACGGTTAATGTATTATATTATTGAGGTAGAATTGTCCGGGGCTACAGAAACAACATTCGGGGTAGGCCAAAATATTATTTTACCAACAATGTGGAATTTATTGGCTACATATTACACAGATTATGCACAGCGGGAGCAGCAATAACCGTCAAATAATAATTCAGACAGGGGAGCTCCGCACCCCCTGCCTGCCGCTAGGGGGTGCTGCAGCGCCCTCAGCACCCCCTTCCCGCGCCCATGTGTACATCTACTGCACAAATAATCAGAAATAACAACTCATATTAATCGCATAAAATGACATCAAAACGCATTTTAATGGCCAAATGAATCTTAAAATAGGCATTTTCCACCGAGAATAACACGAAGGTCGGCCATTGTTGTTGATCACGTGGTCTATGAAGGTCTATGGGTTGCCCTGCCCGTAGAAGCCTGACGGTCAAGGGGTCCGCTGTCGCTAATGAAGGTCTATGGGACGCCCTGCCCGTAGAAGCCTGACTTCCAAGGGGTACCCTGTACGTAATAGAGTGACGGGGAGGGGCCCTGACCGTCCGTCAATATGTGACGGGATGGGAGTGAGGACGTGTGTGTGTGTGTGTGTGTGTGTGTGTGTGTGTGTGTGTGTGTGTGTGTGTGTGTGTGTGTGTGTGTGTGTGTGTGTGTGTGTGTGTGTGTGTGTGTGTGTGTGTGTGTGTGTGTGTGTGTGTGTGTGTGTGTGTGTGTGTGTGTGTGTGTGTGTGTGTGTGTGTGTGTGTGTGCAAAACGCTCACATGTCTTCTGAGCTGTGCAGGCTGGACTGGCTGGGCCAGGCTCTGACGTGGGTGCTTCCTTCTTCATCATCATCTTCACTTTGAGAGTGAAGGGTCCTACTGTTACATTTACAGGAGTATTTTAGTTAAATCATTGTTTCAAATTCTCAGAATATAATTCAATGTAATGTGGCTCTACTGTACATCATGTATGATAGTATTTGTAAATGATTTTACATTATTACAAATACGCTTGATTTCTGACTATTATGCTTACTGTTTACTTTCTTACTGCTATTTATGATTTATTAATGAATTTGCACTGAAAGTACTGATTAAATGAGCAGATGACACATTTGAATGGGTGAATGAATAAAGATGGATAAATGATCGACTGGACAGCATGTGTAAATAAAACAATACATGGACTCTAGATAAGTTAAAACAGTGTTTAACAAGGGTTAATATCTTACATCTTAGTCCATATACTCCTACGACTCCTCCCACTGCTGATACGGAAGATGAGAGCAGGGTAGAGAAAGGGGAAATGTTAAGAAACAGGGATGGTTGGGGGGGGGGGGTTGTGAGAGGCATAGCAAGTGGATGACAAGTGAAGGTATCATCTACAGTACTGCATGGACGGATATGAGTAAATGGGCCTCTCGATACCCAAACTCTTTGAGATGGGATCTTTTTGCATCTCTGCAGTCATTCGGTGTCTCTTTGTAGTCATTATTATGACTAATAATGATATCAAATGTAGTTGTTTGTGTATATTTGTTGTAATTGATCCGCTGTTTGTGAGTGTTTTGTGCAAAAGTGAACAGAACATCACAAGAGAAACAAACAATAATAGTTTCACATGACAGACTGTGCTGGTCTCATGGTGTGTGACCTTTTGTCAACTAGAACTGTTGTTGATGTGCAGAATAGATTTCACAACCTTGGAACCAAATAAAGGCCTTTCAGATGTTCTGAAGCACACACATGTCGTTTCTGCAGGACACTGATGTACAGACTGTAGCAGACAGTAGGGGGCAGTAGATCCTCCTCAAACACACAAAACAGTTTAAGACTAACAAGATAGTTACTTACTCTTTGTCTCCTTTGCTGTGGATCAGAAGCATGAGGGGAGGGAAACATATTATAATGCATGTACTTGTTTATATCCAAAATCAGCCTTTCAAAATGATAGGCATATGATATTAATATGTGAACATGTGTAAGTTAAAACCAGATTTCTCACCTTTGGCGACATCCTGAAGGGGTCACAGGGACAGTGAGGGTTGTGATTTTGGGGTCCTGGGGGCCGAGGATTTGGGGGATATAGCTCTGACCCTCCCCACCTCCTCCTTCACCTCCTCTCTCATGGTCGGAGTCGACATCTTCTACATTGACAGCTGGCCGAAGGCTGAGGCTAGAGCTTTCTGGAGAGGTTTAAAGACAAAACTTGTTTGTTGTTGATTAGTGAACGGCATGTGTATTTGGGCTAATCAGGTCAACGTTAGAGAGGCAGATTTTCCTGGATCTAAATAGGCCTGACTCAAAAGGATCTACCTGAGAACCAGGCCATGTATAACAGTCCTGGAGGCCGAGAGGACTAGCTTACTCACCTGGTAAGACATTGAGTCTGGCTAATCAGGCTCATGGCACACTGGCACAATTGTGTCTTCTTCAATAAATATAAAAAAAAGTGTCAACATGCTGCCTTCTCTTGTACATTTACAGTTTGTTACAAACTTTAACAAGAAATGGAGGGCAGCCATGATGTATATTTAAAAAATGTGTACTCCTCTGTCGACATAATGGAATAGTTTCTTAGCACTTATCTTTAAAGCTACAGTAATAATGATTTTCGGTGCTTTGTTTAAATGATTTTATGATCTATGATTTTAAATAAAGTTTACGAGCAATCAGACGTTTTTTCAGTTTTAGAGATACTAATCCTACACATTATGAGTTTACTTATAATGGATGAGTTTAGGTATCTTCGAGGAATCTAATGATAGAGCACAGATCACTTTCTGCTGATTCACCTGCAGGTCTTATTGCTGGAATGTCTGAGTCGTCTTCTATGAAGAACGCCGGGTTAGAGAGACCTGAGAGCTGGCGGGACACTGAGTTGAGCTGCTTTGAGGGGGGGCTGACGATTGGCGGCAGGCGCGGGTAGGATGGCACATTGGGCAATTCGAGGGTGCTGCCGTTGAGGGAGGATGGAGACGGGGAGGGGGACCGGAGATGAGCGGGAGAGAGAGGGGAGGGCCGGACGAGCCGGTTCAGTTCCACGTCATGCTGATTCTTGTCTTGCTTCTGTTTTTGCTGTTGTTGTTGTTGTTGTTGTTGTTGTTGTTGTTGTTTCTTAGGCATCTTGAGGCATAAGGCTGTTGAGGCGGTTCTGGACGTTGAGGAAGTACTGCTGCACCCGCGTGGGAATCTGGGAGAGCTTCTGCGGGATGTTTGAAATGCCCTGGGAAATACTGGACAGATCTGGGCCCACTGAACCGTCAGAGTTTTTGGGCAAAAGCTCGGTCAGAGTCTGGGCGATATTTCGGGGGACCTGGGTGAGTCGGATCTGGGAGAGCTCTTGGCGCAACTCAGGGGGGAGGGAGGGTAAGTAGTTGGTAACGTCAGAGAGCTGGGTGGGTAGATTAGGCATGGGGGGTATTTTGGGAATGGAGATGCCGTTCTCTTTGAAGAACGCGTTGATGTTGCCCAGGCACTCGGAGGTTTGAGGAAGGCGCATCAGGCAGCTCTTAAATGCATCACAGCTGACTGGAGCTGTAGAGGAGACAGTTCAGAGACAGTCAGGCAAGATAGAGGCAAGGTGGGAGAGGGCTTCAGTAGACAGTCAAACAGCAATGTAGTCTTCCCTGAATCAGGGTTATAATATGGGTTTGGAATTTTTTATTCTGTTTTATTTTTACATTTTCAATGTCAGTTTTGAAAGTTTCAGTTTTCTACGAAAGGTTTACCTTTTTTGTATTTAGTTTACGTTTTTGTTTGTTTTCATTAAGGCCTTACACTCAAGCACCTTTATCTCTTATAATGATTTTAAATGACGGAGAAATAAAGTGGTCCATGCAAGCTGCATTACTTAAATGTACCAACAATACAACTACATATTTCTGTTTTTATTGCAGATAAAACGTATTTAGTTCTGTGTTGTACCTACTGTCTAATGTTGTTGTGTTATGTGTAAGATGCAGCTATTTGGTAAATAAAGGTTGTATAAATGATGTTCTTGTTATTTAATTGTACAAGAATGGACTGATTGTGCAAGACAAGAGACATTATTTGTAAAGCAAATGCAACAGGTGTGTTCCATTTCTGGGTTTGAGTGCACAAGGAATGAACATAATGTGATTTATTATAGATACAAAAAATAACTTTTTTTAATTAACTATTGCTAACTTCTAACTTACCAGTCATATCATTTCCATTTACTTTAAGTCTTGAATAAAGGATATCGTTTTTTTTATTGGCTTGAGAATATTTTCGACGACTTATTTTCATTTGAGTTTCCCTTAAAGGTCATGATAATAACCCTGGTCTAAATGAGAAGAGGAATAATAATCATGGCCTACACACACCAGGCGACATGTACACTAAAGGTTATGAAATCCAGCATTCCAGCAGTAGTGTGGATGTAGAGAAGTTAAGACAACAGTTAGATAAGCAGCTTGTGAGTTCAACACAGCACAACCAGCCAGTAAGGCATGCCGGAATCAAACTGAATCAAAATAAGAAACAACAAAATAGGACAGAACGTACCACCACAGCTGTCCTCAGTAGCTTCCTCCTTACGCAGAAAAGAAAACACAAAGCATAAGAATGGCTGGGGAGTGGTGAGCTTCAGTTTAGATCGGATATGGCATATGGCATCAAAAAGAATCACACATCTGTGTATAATAGCTCCCCATTTGAATGAGCCTGGGGCTAAATATTTAAAATAATGTATTTCCCTTTAGGGAACCTTATCTCGGCATTCCTTAACTGTTATACTTCAATACATGAATTACATTAACAGAATGAAATTGGCAATTAGCAAGAAGATTTAACAATATTTAGAAATGTGTATTGCAGTCATATGAGGTAAAACATTTATCACTGTGCATGTTCACCAGGTGTACATTACTTTTTCAGCAGCGTTGTCAGCGTTGTTGCTTTGATCGTCTTCCTTTGCCCTCTGCGGCTGCTGGGTGATGGGCTCAGCTCCTGAGTTGGTTTCCCGGGTCTTTGGTTCTGGTTCTGGTTCTGGCTCGGACTCTGGCTCGGACTCTGGCTCGGACTCTGGCTCCGACTCTGGCTCCGACTCTGGCTCTGACTCAGGCTCTTGGATCTTAACTGGTTCAGGTTTTGGAGGTGGGGAGGGGGACGACCGCTGTGGCTTCGCTTGCTCCTTTGGCTCTAAATAGTTTTGAATGATAGATTTCATTAGATGTAATATTATTATAGTAATATACGTAAATCTGCCTGATGAGTGGTTAATAAGATGTGAAGTTTCAACAAAATATAGAAATATTATAGAAAGTTTATGCTTAGACTAAACGTACTATATACTTTTTGTCACTCTTAACAATCATATTTCCTCGAGGGGACTATAGTCTATACTGTCCATTTTAAGAAGAAAAAAAACCTGGTTCTACCTGGTTCCTTAATGGTCGGTTCCTCGGCCTCCTCAGAAATGCTCTGCTCCTTTCTGCAGGACACGAAAGGTAACAAAATAGTTGGATATTGCATGCACTAGGATTTAAAAAACTGACATTTTGAGCTGAAAGCCCACCCTAATACAGAATGAACATTTTGCACCTCGAGATATTTCACACAGACACAGACCGACATTCCCCAAAGTACTAACACTTGTTGATAGTATTTACGTCTATTTGTCTGGCTGCATTTGGGCCAGTTTAAAATACATTGAAGTATGCAGCAGACATATGTATGTTTCAACACATTTAGATAACATGTGTATCCAGGTCCACAGACGTTTTTTAACATTAGGATTATAATAATGTTACTGCTTATTATTAAATGTTATTCTCTTTTTTCCTATACTTTACCAAATAATTGTTAAAACGGAAACCATTAAAACACATGTACATGATCTACGTACATAGACTGGCCCACTTTTCAATTAATACTTAAAAATGTGGAGACTTTAACTTTACTTAATGTTAGCCAGTGGTTAGTGTTTACTGTTGTTAGCGTGACAGACAAGCATTTAAACGCTAATTGTCTTTTTAAACCAAGATAGTAATTATATTGGGGAAAATAATAGGTAAAACTTGGAAAAATGTGTTACATAAAACGACGTTAGCGCGAGATACTCACTTTCTCTGTCAATTATCATGCGGTATTCGATAACAGTGCCGAAATAAATGTCCTGGCCCAACGAGAAACGAAAGCACGAACTAGACTATCTGATTTTAGAAAAACAACATGAGAAATCTTCCATTACATCTCCGTCCATCATTTTCCTCTGCGTCTCCAGACGTGAAACCGCAGCAGCAGGTGCACACTGTTACCGGGGGAACCGTTGAGAGGGGATTGGGGGGGGGGTGTTGCCAAGCGAAGCCGGGGTTGCTGTGGCACGGTAGTGTGCTAATGCTGAGGTAGCGCGCGGCAAAGATCACATAACGAGAACCCATGGGATTTGGGACCGACAGCTAAATCACCGTTATTATTGTAGTGCGCAGGTTGGCCTGCTGTGCTTCTGCACTTTTTCCATATCACGCTAACTTATGCTTCTAATTAACTACCTTAGGAAGGCCATTTTGGACGTTCCCCTGTTTATCTGATATTTGAAACCTAGTTACTTTGCACATCGCATACGTTTTAGAAAAACATACCCCATAGAAGCTTGTATAAGGAAATGTAAATCAGCTTTGTCCCCAATGCAACTTTAAAATGCTGCTTATATTATACCATATTAAATACAAACATAGTAATGATTAAATTATGCTCTGAAAGATGCCATGAGGCTGTAATATCATACACTTACAAATGAATGCAGACGCAGTTGTTCTACTAAGTATATTTTACATTATGGTGTTGCTACTTTCCCTCAGTCAAGGATCTAAATGCATTGAGTTCTCTCGCTCATGTTTCATCACACAAGGGATTTCTAGGAGGTTGAGGACAGAGAAGACTCCATATTTCAATTCTTACTGTGTTCCTTGATGGTCCACTTCGTTCTCCTCTTCTTGTTGATCTTGCAACCTGGTCACAGTGAACATGCAGTGTTACATCACTTCCCACAATGATTGCCAAAATTCAAAAACACACCAATCTCTAATGAGCACCACTTCTTACTCAGCATCAGGCTCCTCATCCTCCTCATCCAGGAGGTCTTGACTCCCCAGGGAGAGTTTGATGGACTCACTGGCCATCTGTCTAATGGCATTCTCAGCTGTGGTCCTTGCCACCTCCTCAGCTATAAGCACCATCTCTGAGCGCTCCTGCAGCAGACTGAACACAGGCCGCATGTAAATGTCAGTAACGTGGTAAAGAGTCAACAAGAGTCTTCTCTCTACACTTTGTCTATTTTTGAGGACTTTACTTAAGTTATTCGTGGTGTATATAATTATTGTAATAATTTATGTTATTATTTTTGAATGACAAAAATAACTTTGACCTTTGAGGACATCAGAGTAACTTTTTAAAATAGATTCACAAGGGTTAACTTACTTCCAATTATTTGTTATTATTTGATACGATAGGGGGCATTTGCACCCTGTGGATCTGACTTAAAAATAATTAAAGACTTCATCTCTGCCCACCCTCTTGTTCTCCACCCCTCTTACCGTTGCTCCATGCTTGCCATAGCTACACCTTCGGCCTCCTTCTTGATGTTTTCAATGAACGGCGTCCAGCGGCCCGTCTGGGTCTCAGCATCTTCTTGAGATTTTGTCCCGCTGTCTGAAGGTGTTAGATCAGGCTCAGGCTCTGGCTCTGGCTTGGACTGTGTCTGCTGTGTGTTTGTTGATGATGTAGTCACTGATGGGTTAGGGGCTGCGACTGTGGCAGGATCTTTATGTTTCTGCGGCGCCTCGTTGTCTGAGTCCACGTCTTCTAGTACCATGTCAGGCCTGAGTTTGGATGAAGCTACGGGAAGGTGACAAGCGTTGATTTGTGGGTCATGTTGGAGATTTGGTTTAGGGTTTCAGCTTATTCAGATTTAATTTATCTTTATGTGTAGAGGATGCATGGAGATAATGGAAGGTGTTATTGATAAGACCACCACATACATTTCACATTGAATCTTTATTACTCCTGCAGTATATCCTTACAGTACAGTGTGTAATTACATGAATGTGTTCTTCTACTTCTCTCCATGACAGTGAACATTTATTTCATAACGTAAAATCTTCTGAAACAACACCACACCACATCCCGAGGCCACATTTCACAGTTTAAGGCCGTATAAATTGATCAAGTGGATCAAAATAGGCCTACTCTTACATTTGTGTTGTGCGACCTTAATGGAAGCTAACTCAAACTGTTACATAATCAAGACCCAAACTGAAGAGCACAATAATTAACAGATTCTTATGGGGTAGGATATAATTAAGATAAAGTATTATTAGATTTCATCTAAACATCCTATCATCAGTATAAATACAGATATAGTTTATACTTTGCCCACAAATAACACAAGCATAAATAAACATAGCTGCCATTTAATTATTTCAAGATTACTGTGAATTGGGAAATGAAGACTGGACATTTGATGCTGAAATCCTCTTAAGTTAATGACCAGGACAACATTATTTTAACTGCTATTGTTCTTTTGATGGATGTAAAAATGGCAACATGAATATAAAGTGTAAATTGCCATAGGTTAAAGCACAGTAAAATCGCATACAAATGTTCTTTCTGCAAAATGTTGTGAATGAAACTTGCAGTTGTTTCAAATAAATGGCTAAATGTTTCTGTGTCACACAGAAAATGTGCAAATGTATCATCTAAAAGCCCTAAGACAAAAGCTCATTGTATAAGCTATAGAATATATAGAACACCTTCGAGTTATAGAACAGTGCACACATATTATGTTGGAATACATTCATATGAAACTGTATCTAGTACAGTAAGGTGAGTTGAATATATCTTTATATTCTTGTAGTATTTTACAGCTGCCGGTTTCAGAGCTGAATGTTGCAAAGCACCTGTACCTCCCCCCTCTCCCAACAGTACAATATGTCTGCTTGTGTGCGTCTGCATGTGTGTATCTCTATGTGTGTGTGTGTTGATCAGAGCGTCCCCCAGTCGTCTCCTCCTGCTGTTTAAGGGGCTCGGAGCGCCTTCACCCCTGAAACAGAAGGAGAAGAGGGACTGAGTTAAGCTCCGATCGTCCGACCAAAACACCTCTTCAAAAACTATGGGGGAAAAAACAAGACGGTGCTTCAACAGAAAATACTTTCCAAAATATTATCAAAGATGCTGAAGAGTTACTCAAAATGGAGAAATAATTATATTCCGACGCCTTCAGTAAAACACCACCCCATGTTATTAAAGAGATGTGTGTTATTATTCTCCAGTTACTTAACACGCTTTCTGGAATATATGATGTTATGTAGAGATCCACTTGATTGAACTGTGAATTGTGGCATTCGGGCAAACACAGGAGTAGTGAAGAAAACTTAAACTTACCTTTCTTTAAAACTTCAGCTACACCCTGAGAAAGCAACACAACAACATTTATAGAAAGATTAACATGCTGAAAAACCAGAAGAAGAGAAGGAAGAAAGAACTGTTATTTTGTTTGATATTAAAATAATTACCTGAGCATCATCTTTGGTTTGAACGGCAGGCTGAGGGATCTTCAGGCCCAGGCCTGTCATGAACCAGCCAACCATACTGTGGAGAGACAAACTAATGAACTGTGTGCACTTTAGACACATATTTTACTGCAACTTTACAGTCGCTTTCATTATAATAGGTCATTAAAAGGAAAACATCAGTGAGATTTGTTTGCGTAGAAATCTCAGTCATACATTTAATATTGATTAAAATATTCCCTTGGAGATTGTTAATTGTATTTTTAATGTTGTCATTTGAAAAAAGAGTGATCATAAAGGACAGTGGGGGATCAAAACGTACCTTGGGGCCTTGCCATCAGTATCCAATGAGATTCCACTGAGAGACTCAGATGGTGGAGACAAGACTGGTAAGAAGTGAAAGACAGGAAGTTCAGTATACAAAAACAAGTATCCATCCAATAAAGTCAGAATATGTCCTAAATGTATTTGGATTTAAAAGTAAATGGAGGTCTGCATGACCATAGTTTTGAGAAACAGACAGGAGTTACTGCACTGAAGCTATCAATCTGCGGCTGTAAATGGGGGCAGTAGCTAAACATATTTTAAACACGTATAAAAATCAACCTGAATTTAAGTGAACCTTGTTGTCAGACACACATGAGGAACTAAAGCTGTCTTTGTTGCTCTTTTTAAGGTTGCTACTGATAAAAACAGTCATTTAATATGGCAGAACACAGAAGTTGTTGGTCTGCTTTTGTCTTGATATGTTCGTTTGTTTCTGTCATAGTGTGACTTGGGTGAATCCAAACTAACCTTAAAGACCAGCGGTAGACCAGATACTTCCATTTTCAACAGGCTAAAATGACTGTTTTTGTCTTGCACTTTGAAGATAGATTAGATAACAACTTTCAGTTCACCGTCTGAAAGGCTGTCTGACGGCAAGGGAAGGCGGTGAAATTATTCGAAATATAGTGTATATTTAAGCCATCTTTTAAGTGGCTAAAGTACCCTTTGCTGCTGCTCCCCTCCACAGCACTACATTGCTTTGCTTTGGTGTCAGTAGTCTGTTTTTCCAACTGCCATGTACTGTAGAGATAATGATGTGGATAAGTGCCTTACAAATCCAAACTATCCCTTTAAAGTTTAAATGTTTTACTAAAGTAAGTTGAAAGCTATGACTGTCCATGCCATTGTGTGGAGGTTTGCGCTGTGGGTACACGTGTCAACTGGTGTGTATTTAAATGTTTGTGTTATATGTGTGCATGTACTTTTGTCCAGAGAAGAGCGGGAGGACTTGGTTGATTGTTCTAAGGGTACGGCACCAGGGGGCAGTATAAGGGGTTGAGGGACCATTTGCTTTATCCAGTTCACAACGCTGCAGCAAGAAAAAAAGACAAAGGTCAGCTCCTTACAAGTTTACAGTTCTCTTCTGTACTGATGTGTGCATGTTTAACGTGTAAAGATGATGGTATAATCACTGTTAATGTGTAGTAAGAAGTGGTGTGTACTCACTTAGGAAGAAATTGAGGAGTCTCAGGCTCTTCTTCATCCTCTGACTCCATCTCCACTACAGGAATGTGAGGGAGGGGATCAAAATCTGGAGGGATAGACGCACAAATCAGACAGCAGAGATCAGCTCAGCAGAAGGGATGGTAAATTACTGATAATTCTCATCAATTCAAACATAACTTTTGTAAACGAATAATCAAGAAACTTACCTGGCATTGTTGCTGCCTCGTAGATCTAGGATAAAATATATCAAAAATGCTTTGAGTCAGACCAGCAGAGGATTCTTATACGGTTTTCAAAGATTTCTCATAATATTATTTATGCTTTCTTTAGAAATTGGAAAAAGGGCATTGTGTTTTCTGCACTTTAGGGCTTGGAATATATTGGACTTCAACACTGAACACATGTCACTTGTTAAATGCTTTTAAATTCAAAGTTTAAATAATAATTTAAAGATAATGTTAGTTGTGAATGCATTTTAATTGATCTGGTTACGAAACTGACTAAAGTTTCTGTATTGAAATGTGACTTTCATATGCTTCTGTTTTTGTTGTCTCTTTTTTTTATCTGTAACTATGTGTTTTTGATTATCTTGCTTAATCAATTGCTTATTTTAAATTGATTTTGACTCTGAATTAGATTCCCCTCGTTGTTTGATTAATATAATGAATATGCATTATCTATTAAACTTAATATCCATTATATCAATAAATAATGAGGTTAATGGTTGTCTGTTCGTCCACACATGTCTCCTCATGCGAGCCCCCACTGGGATCAGGGTGGGCTACAGATGGTGCTCATTGGAGCAATAAACCTCTCGTCCCACATGGGCTCCTTTTATGTCCATACCCACAGTACCCATGTGGACTAAAGGTTCAGCCAAGGAGGGCTACACGTGTGGGGCCCTGATGGGTAAAGCTGAAAGTGGGTTTTTAGGGGGTTTTCCTTTCCTCTAGTGCAGGGATGGGCAACTTGGATGGTGGTGAGGGCCACATAATGTATGTACTGGCCACCAGGGGGCCGCAGATTCACTTGGAACACAACACACACACACACACACACACACACACACACACACACACACACACACACACACACACACACACACACACACACACACACACACACAAATTCCATGTATTGTATGTAATTATTAACAAATATACTAAGTCTGACATCTTCATTGACATTTTACAATCTTTCAGGGAACATCCTCTAATAAGCTCACTAAACAAATATCAATTCACAGAAATGTTATTTAATTTTTACAAGTGGCATGTTTGTATTGAACAGGTTATAAACAGTGGAATAAAACTATTTTAAACTATCGGAAAGCACGGAAAATGTGTGTGCATTGAGATTAACCATTAAGACACCTGTCAACCCGCACTCTGCTGTTCCTCATCGCCGCTCCCCCTCCCTCCCGCTGGAATTATGAATGAAAAGCGTATAGTAATCATAGATAACACAGATAACATGGCAGGGTCCGACCGTGACAGTTTGTTTTCATCTGATTTCAAATAAACAAAGTCTTGGTTTTTAGAATATTAAACTTGTTTCGCCAAATTCAGATGATAAATACAGCTTTGAAGCTTGTAACGGCATAATTACAAGCGGTAACTTAAATTCACAGCAGGCATAACAGCCGGTGTTTATTGTGATTATTTCGCGGTATTTGGCTGCCGAACGAAATCATGTATGTTATCGCGACCTAACTAGTGGACGGTATCAGTACTACAAGTAAACAAATAAAAAATATATGAATTACGTTGTTTATAAATTAATCTGAGGGCCGCAAAAAGAGGAGGTGGGGGCCGCCATTTGCCCATCCCTGCTATAGTGTGTTATATAGATTGTTGTGCATGTAAATAGTCTGCAAAGGCTTAAATCCACACCAGAGGGCGTTTTCGTTTAGTGACAAATATGTAAGAATTATGCTTCTATTTGCAAGCGCTCCAAAATATTGTAAGTAATAGGCTTAGGGGCAAGACATCTCTTAGCATTTGACCAACCACAACAGAACCGACCCGATAACCAATCAGAGCAGACTGGGCTCTGGTTTCAGACAGAGGGTGAAAAGAGGTGCTGCAGCACAGGCAGCATAAGAAAAATAAAGACCTTTTTGGACATTAAAGCATGTAAACATGTCACAGTAGAGGAACAAAATACAATTATATAACCTGAAAATGAGCATAACAGGGCCTCTTAAATCTGTACATTATTCAAGCGTTGTCTGGATTTGTATCAGTGCATCCCTGAAATCCTCAGGTTAAAATGGTTGTGGCAAGGTGAACTGGTTAAATGCAGTGAAGTTATTGGACGGGTTTAACCTGGCCGTTAATTCCCTAACAAACTTAATCCTTCCGCATGATTAGTCCTCCTGTGTAAGCCTCAGGGACAATACTAAGTTGCTCGAGTCAAGAGTCGCAAAGTTAAAGACAAAGATTTGCTTCCTGTTGCTTGGGTAAATTAGCATACTGTATAGAATGAAAATGATTAAAGATAAATCAAATGCAATTTATATTATATATTTTGTTTCCAGGCACTACTGATGTAATAATAATAATAATACATAAGATCTCACCTCAGTGTGCTCCTGAGTGTCCTCAATCTCTTTATACTTGTCATCAGGCTGAGGCAACACCTTTGTCAGGCCCTGAGCGACCCAGCCCATCACTCCAGACCTGGGAGAAAAAAAACTCAAATATATTTCCCTTTGAACAATGTATTTAGCAATAAATATGCACTCTTATTGAATCATACTGTACCTTTCTTCACTTTCCCCCATCTGATGGATGGCAAAGAAAGAAAAATAGAGAATGAGAAATATTGGAGGCCAAAAAACTCCTCTGCAAATCTCCCTCCTTTATGTATTTGCACTCTCCATCACAATTATATCACTGTTACGGTTCTACTTTTTGTGAAACTTGAAGTGTTGTGAAGCAGTATTTCCTGTGTATCCCAAATGTTTTGAACTTTGTCTCAGTTATGAAGGGCAAGACTGGCTGACATCTGGCATTTAAAGAAATACTTCGTGCCCAAAATAACCATTTGTATTTCAATAACATCACCCTGTTTTACCTTAACATTATTGAAGAAAGCTGACTCAAAAATTACAAAACTGAGAAGTCGAAAAAATATAGATTTGCAAAATATAGATTTTCAAAATCTGTCACACATTTTGGGCAATATAATCCAAGTCTTCCCAAACACATGCATTTCAGTAAAAAACATACTATTTAAAAGACTTTGCTTAATCAGGTGTGCTCCCTATCTGTACAAATATTGTTTATGCTCAAGTGTTTAAAATGTTTTTAGCAAAAATACATGTTGAGCAAAGAGTGGATGGATGAGACCTGCAAATACAGCACAAGGTGTGTGATAGTTTCTTGTCAAGACTTTGTGTTATTCGTACTGTGGATGCATGCGAGACATTTTCTTTTTCAAGAATTCAGGTAATACAAGATAATTAATTCATTGACAAATTATTTTTGGGGTGAAGTGTTCCTTTAACAAAAGCCAAACATTGGCAAACAGTTGATCAGTCTGATCCTTGAATTAGGATACAAAGATATATCTTTAATTGGATAACGACAAGGCTAAATGCCCACATGACCAAACATCTACATACTCACCCTTTCAGAGTCGGACCGGCTGAGTCGAGGGGAGCCGGTCGGCTGAGGCATGGCGCTGACGAAGCCATTTGACAGCCAGCCTAAAACTCCAGTGTGGTTCTGGCTGTAGAGGTGGAAAAAGACTTTTAAGATGACAGTATATTTACAGAAACATACAAACATACAAGCGTAGCAACTCCCACATTTCATTTGTAGATAAATTGTTTGGCTTATAAATTAGTGAAACCAATTGCTCGAAGTCTAAGGTGATGAATTTAAATATCTTATTTTGTCAGTCAATAAACAAAAGATGTTTAATCTAATATAATATCAAACAGAGAAAGCAGAACATCTCCAAATTTGAGTGTTCCACAGACAGCATCTTTTGTATGGAAAATAACTGTCTACGCTTCATCAATAATCAAAATAGTTAGTGATTAGATTTAGTTCTCCGTCAATTGACTGATACATTATTTCACTAATTGTTGCAGATATAGACAATTTCTATTATTAAGCCACACACAGAGGCTAGTAGTAAAAGAGGTTAACCTGTCCTGTGAATCCTCTTCTACGTTTTTCTGTGGAGGGCTCTTCACTCTGGGAGCAGATGTTTTCACACCGTTATCCGTCCCTTCAGATGACGGGAGTTGGGGAACCACTTTCACCACCCAGTTAAACATCCTGTTGAACACACACACACACACACACACACACACACACACACACACACACACACACACACACACACACACACACACACACACACACACACACACACACACACACACACACACACACACACACAGTCAGCCCCTCAAAAGCCCTTTATCAAACGTAATGCTGTTAATAATGCTAAATTATAATAACACTTCCCTGGTGTTTTCATTAAAGCAGCCACTTCACCTCAAACCAAGGGCCCTTATTAGGAGCTAATGATGATCGTTCACCAGCTCCATCTTTGCTCTCATCTGAGAACACACTTTTACCAACCTGATATATCTTTCTGTACAGTGTTTAACACGTAAATCGGAAAACTGTCTTTAATTTTGCATCCAACCGGTGGCGCTGCAAGACACTCTGGGGGCCCCGGCAGAGCGGAGATTACGGAACTGAAATTATGAAGCAGCTTTTGACAGCGCGCTATGCATGGAGGTTCTCGACATGTCATTGCAGTAAATTAAAGGGGGTTTCATGTTGTCGTTGCTGTGGACCAATTTAATCGACCTTCTTTGGGGGCCCCCTTCTGGTCCGGGGCCCCAAGCAGTTGCCTGCCTTGCCTGCCGGCAAACGGCGCCCCTGCATCCAACACATTTACAGATTATCAAATGGTATATGTTGCCTAGAATATAAAATATATAATCCTTGATCTAACACATCAGAACTGATGTTCTGAGTCAAAAGTCAGAGGAGACTGGGGGCAAAGGGGCAGAGGCTATCTCGGGCGGTAGTTAATAATCTGCTTTACCAACCTCCTCCAGAGGTGAGGGAGGGTTCAATCAGTTAGATAGGAAGAAATCAGACACAAATGTACAGGAAGAGGGCATTTTCAATGGCCCAGTGCAATGAAAATTGGGAGATAGATGAGATTTACTGCGCCAGCCATAGCCCCCCTTTTCTGACTCACTCTTAAATGTGACGTTCTTCCCCGCGACAGTTTGTTAACCTTTTGAGATAATCCACTTCAGCAGTGGGGCAGGAGCTACTGAACTTGCAAGATGTCCTTCTAAATAGCAACAGGTATACGTCATAGATCTACTATGGTTGAAAGAAAAAGCCTAAATAATTCACTTCTGCCTGTCTGTCCATTATACAAGAACTAGGAGAACAAACCCAAAATGTCACAAAAAAGACGTGTCACGGCTCTCAGAGTTGACACATTGTTTTTTTTATTGTGGGATTTGTTATCTACTAGGAAACTGTTCACATATAATCCCCATGGAAGATGTCCTTACAAAGCAGATTGAGCTGTTGTTGTGATCACAGTTTGTGATTCTTGACTCTGCCAATCAGCACAGATCAGTGGGGCCTCTTGCCCAGGCTAATCTCAAATGTGTTGCATTGGATTAAATAGTAGCTCCGTCATTTCACTAATCTACAGCCAGACTTTTTTGCTGATTAAGGCCTGGATCAACTCCTGACATACGCCCACATCCCACAGGATCACAATCAGTCATTAAAAGATTGTAAATCAGATAAATACACCCCTAGGATAGACCTATAACTTTTTTTTTTTTTTTTTTTTTTCTCAACTGATTTTGTTTGTAATTTAGGTAGGATTTATGAAATGTAAGACCTGGCAGTGCATACTTTGATAAAACACAAATCAGAATCTGATAGCAAACATCTAATCACATCCACATGTCTGCTCATATAAACACTCTACAACTGCAGATTCACACACTGTCATTTGACCAAGGCACAGATCCTCACATTCTACAAATGAATGTAATCTATTAAATGATGTATTTTTTAAAGCATTGTTACCTTACCTGCGTGTCTACAGGTGTTTCTGCATGCCGGTGGCGTAGAGATCCAGAGTGCGGCACAGCCAGCACAGTTCTGCTGGGATTTCCGCATAGGTTGCCTGGAGCTAACAGGATTACCCAGCACTACCTGAAGGTCGACGCACAATCCTGTACTGTGAGCAATCCCAGATTAACAGAAACAGAGAAACGTATCGTCAGGACATCATCCCTGTAATCTACATACTGTTATCACTCCTCGATCACTGAGGACAACAATAAATGGTGACTCAAATAATCCCAGACTGGAAGGTAGAAAGGGAAAACATCCAGTTACAGAATTTCAACTCATTACACAAATAAAGCGTAAAATGCAAGTAGGCCTATTTGTAATGTTTTGTATAAGCATCTGGATAATTTTGTATTTAACATGTTACACTCCACTTCTCTACCAAAGGAGGAAACTTTTTTTATGATTTATACTGTCAATAGGGGATTTGTTTTACTCTTTGGATAATACACAACGGTGCCTTCAAGGAGAAGCTATACTCTCCCTTCTCCCTCCTCAAGCTTTTCATCTCTGTTCCATATTATCTCCCGTCCCTTCCTGATTACAGTTGTATCCCCAAGCAGTGACGCAGGGCCACTTCCTGACTGACAAGCAATAAACCTTCTGATTTATTAACAGTCAGGAGGAGACAGAGGAAGCCAAAACGTATTAGTAAGGCTCAGGGTCTGACAGGACTCTGATGATCTAGCCTACTTTCTTTCTTGTTCCTACAGCCATGAAGACCCCAGCTCTATGAGCAATGGCAATACATGGCAATACATGTCTTCAATATGGCACTAGTTGGAAAGTAACTAAGTAGGCCTACAATAATTAGCATAGCTGAGTTTAATTTCAAAGCTCTTGAGTATATTTCATGTTTCTGTGAACGTATAATTCTACTTTACTGCAATTCAGAGTAAAATATACCATTACTTTTTAACTAAAATCTAGTTTAATTTGGCAGCTGTCGTTACGTTTTAAGGTTTTACAAAGAGCAGGGCTACAGCATGCTAGCAGCTCTGTCTAAGCTAAATGCTAGTGCTCACATGCTAAATGTTATGCTACCAGACAAATGTTTACTCTCTTAGTTAGCGTGTTAGCCTCAGTTAGCCTGCTAACACATACTGATTAGCGTTAAAAGCCGAGTACATCAGAATGCTTATGGGAATAACATTTGCAGGTTGTTATACATAAAATGTGTTTTGTTTCCTGATGATGGAAATAGATTTGAAATGAAGGAATCACCAATGTTATTACAATTCATCTTGAGGGAAACACTTCATCTGCATCAGAGTTGTTGATGGACAACATATTACTAGACCGACTGGAGAACTGGGTGGGACTTTCGGAAACAGTTCTGAATTGGTTTGAATCCTACTTAAAGGACAGAAACAACTTTGTTTCTATAGGTAAATACACATCTGAGTTGACAAATATGACATGTGGGGTTCCTCAAGGCTCCATCTTGGGGCCTCTTCTCTTTAACATATACATGCTACCACTGGCTCAGATAATGAAGAACAACAAAATAAGTTACCATAGCTATGCAGATGACACACAAATTTACGTAACAATTTCACCAGGAGACTATGCTCCAATTCAAACACTGAGTAAGTGCATTGAACAAATCAATGACTGGATGTGTCAGAACTTTCTCCAATTAAACAAAGATAAAACTGAGGTAATGGTTTTTGGAGCCAAGGCAGAACGTATAAAAGTTAGCGCTGAGCTTCAGTGTGCAATGTTCAAAACAACAGATAAAGCCAGAAATCTAGGTGTAGTCATGGACTCTGACCTGAGTTTCAACAGTCACATTAAAACTGTTACTAAATCAGCCTACTATCACCTAAAGAATATATCTAGGATTAAAAGACTAATGTCACAGCAGGATTTGGAAAAACTTGTCCATGCTTTTATCTTCAGTAGACTCGACTACTGCAATGGTGTCTTCACAGGTCTCACTAAAAAATCTATTAGGAAGCTGCAGCTGATTCAGAACGCCGCTGCTCGAGTCCTCACTAACACTAAGAAAGTGGATCACATCACTCCTGTTCTGAAGTCTTTACACTGGCTTCCTGTGTGTCAAAGAATAGATTTCAAAATACTGCTGCTGGTTTATAAAGCACTGAATGGTTTAGGCCCAAAATACATTTCTGACCTCCTGCTAAATTATGAACCATCCAGATCTCTCAGGTCTTCAGGGACTGGTCAGCTTTCTGTCCCCAGAGTCAGAACTAAACATGGAGAAGCAGCGTTCAGTTATTATGCTCCAAATATCTGGAACAAACTCCCAGAAACCTGCAGGTCCGCTGCAACTCTGACTACTTTTAAATCCAGGCTGAAGACTTTTCTTTTTGTCGCTGCTTTTAATTGAACTATTCATATCTTAGACTGCACTGTAACTTTTATCCATGTACTTTTTTCTTTTAATGTTTAATTGACAGCACTGTAACTTTTATCCATGTATTTTTTCTTTTAATGTTTATTTTATTAGCTTTTCTTTTTAATGACTGATTTTAAATGCCATTTTCTTAATCTCTTTCATTTTTTGTAAAGCACTTTGAATTGCCTTGTGTTGAAAAGTGCTATATAAATAAACTTGCCTTGCCTTGCCTTGGACCAACATTGCCATGCCTAGAGCTTCCTTGGTAGCAACACGGCTAATATGGTAACCTTATAAAACCTACTAAAACAATAAATCACCAAACTAGTACTAAACTGTATAACAACTGACCTAAAGTTAAATACCAACCAGATAGGTGTGTGCATTGTTGCTTTATTATTATCATCAATCTAGTAATGTAATAGGTTACATGATAAAATATCAGTCACAGAATTGACCCTTTCCTATGTTGTGATTTTTTTTAGATATTTTCAATTTGTACATCAGTGAACAATCTGAATACTTCTTCCTCAGGTGTTTGACAGGGACAGTGAAAAGGGAAAGTGATTGGCATGATCCCTGAGAGTTATTAGCAAGGATCCAGGACTCCCCTAATGGTAAATTGTAATGTTGACAGCGATTGACAGACAGGTAATCAGACAGGTGGAGAACATTCACCAGGTCATACATGTGCATATAACTCACTGCATCCAGTGGGGCCTGTTCACTGCTTGAGAATGAGAATCACAGGAGAATTGATGGTGGTGATGAGGCAGCGGGCAGATCCCATTATCAGCTCAGCAGAGGATAAGCTTGGAGAACAGGTTGATGACACAGAACCTTCCAACCAATGGCTGGAATATGTCAGCATAGTGGCCTCAATCCTAATTGAACATCTGCATAAGACACAGAGCAGCGGCAGTTTTGAAAAATACTCATAGGAGAGGTAGAGAATGTAACTAAAGTTTTGCAAGCTAGCAGTGGTCTATGATTGTCGAGAAACTTTGCAGAAGAAAATAGTGGTGCACACTATTCACATTTGGTTAAAATGTTAAACCAATGTGTTCAATTGTATTTAAGAGAATTAAAAGAACAAGGAAAACCAATGATGAGAAGATATGTTGAAATAAAGGTAGAAAAGTGGCTGAAAGAGAAAGCAGATGTATAGGTAAAGCTTTAGTCGTTTAGTGGATGTTCTGTGATGGAAGCTAATCCTGATTACCTCGGACATGCAGGAGGCTGCTCTCACGCAGTTACACATTGTACACATAAACTACACTCATTGCATCTGTTTACCAAGGAGAGGTGCAATGTAAACCTACTCTAATAAAGTTCTGCATAAATATAAACAGGGTAACGCTTTATATTACAAAAATATACAGAAGAATGACCACAAAGTAAAAATTGCCATTTTGTAAACTTGGCCACGTGTTTTTATCATAGAATGATTGTATTTGATGACTGGTTTAAAGCTGGCTAATTGTATTAGTTTAAAGGAGAGGTGTCATGGCCATTTCCACTGATCATAATTCCATTGTTGAGGTCTACTAAAATAGAAAAATACTGTGCAATTTTCCAAACTCACATTGGTTTTGCATACAGCATCTCTTTAAAGTATGTGTATTCAGCAGTATTCACTCTCTCCACTAAACGGCTCGTTGCAGCTCTTGCCCCCCGTCGTGGATTGGTCAATTTGGACCAATCAGCGGGGGCTTAACGTAACAGCTCCGCGGACGTAACGTAACGGCTCCACGGATTGGCCCATTTGGTTCCGGGTACCGCATGACCGTATCGCGTCATAGTTCTGGGCGTGGCTACTGGGTGCTTCTACGACACAGCACCCAGGAAGTAAAAAATGGACAATGACGTTTCACCAACGAGGCGTTTTGGGGAGGTATTTTCTGTTTTAGAGTTTTACATCAAATGGAAATTGCTCAACAAGTACAAGAACCTTCCAATCTTACAAATGTACTTCATGTACTTTCTATTTTAGAGGCAACGATTCCCTCTTGTGGCCGTCAGTAGAATCGACTCCTTGAACTTGACATTTGCTAAGAATGTTAAAGGGTGTATATTTAAGGTAACATGAAGAAATAAATTGCACTAAAGACTAACAGTGTGTTGCTTTGTTTTATTGTGAAATCTTTAACATACTCTACACAGGAGTGCACAGGCCTTACAGAACATGCCCCGCATGCATCAACATTATTGTAATAAACTATTGCTGATCTTACAGAAAACCTGAAACAAAAATATACAAAACTACAAATATTAAGTAGAGTAAAAAACGAACAAAAAACAATTCTAAAAACGTTCCCTCATGCTATGTATAGTACAAAAAAGGTCCCCAAATAGTCACTGAAAAAGGCACAAAGAAATAACGTAAAAACTAAATATAGGCACACTGTAAAAGGCACACAACCTAATGAAAAAGATTAATGATTTTAGCGACTAAATAGTGGCTTTACACACAGAAAAGCAAGGTAAACAAAGACAGATAGTGGTCGACTCACTTTCTGCAGTTGTCTATGTGCATTAGGTAGCTTTAAATGCTTGAGCTAACTTTCCAGAAGAGTGCAGAAGAAAATGAATACATCTTGGAGGTACAGGAATAAAACAAATCAAACAGAGAAAAACAAAGACTTAAAAGAAACATAAGAGAGGAAAGAATGATAGATGAGGATGGAGGGGGAGGGGGTCCTCTCCAGCTCAGGACAACAAGCAGAGCAAAAACAAGAAGACTAGAAAAGGACCTAGGTCAGGAGGCACAACGCCAGCGCTGCCCCTCCCCGAGATCCTTCCTCCCTCTTTCCCTCGCTCCTCCTTTCCCAGAGAAAAACTGGCAAGGAAACTCTGGTAGACCCCCCCCCACACTTCAATCTTTCCTTCCCTCGCATTTCATTCTCTTTCATGTTCTTTTACTCGTCACTTCTATTTTTTATACCTCCTTCTTTCTGCATTTTCCCCAACTCCGCTCTCTCCCTCCTCATGCCTGATACAAATCAGCAGCATGTGGGCTTAATGGAAACCAGACCCTGACCCATTCCTCTCTAGCCTGCAGGCTTCTTCTGTGTACACTTAAATCTATTTAGTTTTAGCATGAAATGATGAAGAAGAAGAGAAGATACAAAAGATGGACACTGCTGCTATTGTTTTACTCTTCACAGGTCAAGCCTAGTTGGAGAGGATGTGTAAAAAACACACTTTTCAATTCTTCTTGTTAACTGTGAATAAATCCCTCCTCCTCTTGCATTTCATCCAAGGCCCGGCACCAGTCGTATATCAATATGTCTCCACTGGGGATTGTGTTTTACTGGTGTAGTCGAAACAGTTATCGTGGCTGTGGTGGGAGGAGGGGAGGCTGGAGCCCTGGTGTCTGTGTGCAAAAAAAACGATATGTGCCTTTGTTTGGGTAAGTAGTCTCTATGTCAATGTGTGTGTGCTTATCTGGACATGCATGCACCAATGAGTGCCGTTAGGGTTTTTTGGAGATCATGTGACGTTGGTGCATGTGTGTGAGAGAGGGCTCAGTGGAAAATGGACACACACAGCTGTCTGACATTCCTACACAAACACACACATCTGTGGAGCAATCTTAGCAAAACAGAAAAGACAACAATAAATGTAAAAGTGCAAATTATCTGCTCTAAACAAAGAAAAAAGATTGGTGGAGGCACCGTAGTCAAGCTAATGAAAGTCTTGTTCAACATTGTATGTATGATGTATGTGTATAGCTACAAGCACTCATGTGTGTATGTACAATATGTGTGCTACTGTGTAATGTATGTGCATTATCGACTTTGTCTGCATTTATACTACAAAAGATCTTCGGTCCCTTCTCTGTACAATAAGAATTGATTAAAAAAAGTGTGTCATCTGACATTCGGTGCCAGACACTTGTTTTTTAACGCTGGGATAGGAATATATATTTTTTTCCTTTAAGAAAAAGAGGTTATTTATCAGATGTTGAGAAGGCACAAGGGGAGGCACAGGAGAAACACTGTAGGTCCACTGGCAATGATTTGACCAAGTTTGCATTATTTCACATGAGCAATAGAAGTTCTCACAATGAATGGGGCCCAAAGCGGTGACTCATCTGTGGCTTTCTTAAACTTGCGTCAAAGCTGCTTTCCACTCTGACGTAAGTACAAACTCTGACGCCAACGGCCGTAGAAGAAGTGATGAAATCTGGCTCTATCGCTTCAAAGTCTGTGCCTCACACCCAGTTCTGCAACGAACGCTTGCAGTGCACCAAGGCCCTCGGAGTTTCCTTCTTCTGTAGAGTCCTGAGGATGCCGTAAATTAGGACCAGGATGCACAGGATGAGGAGCAGAGGAACAATCACCATGATCAGAGTCATGACCTTTGATTCATTGTCGGCCTCCGTCACAACCACGTTGACCTCTTTGTCCTCCTCCTCCTCCTCCTCCTCTGTGTTGTCAGGCTGAGAGTCTTTGTCTTTGCCGCTGTCCGGCTCTTTGTGCTCATCTCTGCCTCGATCTGAAGGGTCCACTGGTTTGTGTTTTGGTTCCTGCTCGGTGTCCGTGTCGGGCTTTGGGTCAGGGGCCCCCACACAGCCCATGAAATCCTTCAGGATGGAGCGAGGGTAGCCTTTCTCTGGTTCTGACTTGCGATTGTCAAACCTCCAGTAGTTGGAGCCTTTGTAGAAATAGGTGTGAGCTGCATGAGAGAAAAATAAAATAGATTTAAGTCAATCAACTCATGTGCAATGGATTATTATGTGAATATACTGTAGACCATGTGTTGATATTTGGTGTCCTTGCCTGTAAGGAGTAACACTTATAACTTCCAAATATGATGGATTAAGGGCTTTATACATTCCTTATAAACCAAGGATGCACAGATACTCAGGTATTCAAGTGATACTGAATAACATTACTGGACAAAAATCCCTGTATCAGATTATGTGAAAAAAGAAAAAGAACTTTTAGCGTAAACTATGGTTCAACAAGTCTCATTGAGGTGTAGGCTACATTAAATGTTGAGTAATACTATAATATTATATGAACTGCAAATGGCTAATTTTATATTTACTGCTGCTTATTGTCAACCATATTTGATCCATGTATGTTGATCTGCTGCCTCTGACATATTACCTGTGAGTTTTAGATTTGTGCATAGACTGGGTACATCTGCAAACAAATAGCCCTTCTTGGGATAAATATGGTTGTCTCAATCTGAATCTAACATCACAATACAAATGTGTTAATATAAAACTACAAGAAAGTAATTAACTCATAACATGTGATACATAAATGTACTACAATTTAGCATTGGAATGCAACAAAATAACTCCATACTGTACTCAGGGCAGATTTATGGGTGTAATTGACACTCTGTACTTCAGACCAGGCTTGCAGAGGCATTTGAAGAGTTTGGGTGGACTTTGCATTTACAGTAGAGCAGCTCTGCCTGCCAAAAATCTAATTTCCAAAAGAAAGGACAGGCTAACCCTCAAACCAGAGCTCTCATTCCTTCTCCCTCTCCCTCTCTCATCCCCTCATCCTTCTCCCTGCTCTGCTTGCTCCAGTCTAACCAGCGGCCTCAGATGTAATTGTGTCCCTGTCTGTCTCTAACACCCCCAATTTCACCCCTGTAACCTTTCATTCTTTCTCTATACTCACTCATGTTATTCCCCTGCTTTCAACACTGTATGCACAGCTTTGAGGCCTGTTGTGATTTTTATAAACAGAAACTATTCCCTTCCTCTAAATAATGGCTTTATTTGCTCTACTGAAAGTCAATATTTACCGCTGTCATCGCTGAGAAAGGCTCCTTTGGGTGAATGAGGGATTTTGCCCCATCTTTCTATCGGCTTTGGGAAGTCACGGTCTGTAGTGCGGGTCTCCTCATTGTATCGCCAGTATCTGCACACAGAAAATAAGATGAAGGAGGACATACTAAGTTATAAAAAGTTTCACACTTCTATATATTGGATTTCTATATGTTCATGTTTACATGTTTAAATATAAAAAATACACATTATTTTTTGTATACTGTCCGTCTAAATAAACCTGTATCCCCCTCTGCCTAAAACACTTTATTGTAGCGCATGTCTCTTTGAGCCTCTCAAAAAAAAAGTCCTATACTGTTCTAATTCACTTGCAACATAATATGGCACATCTTTTCTGAAGGAAGTTCCAGACTGTATAAAAAATGGACGTAGCCATTTTGACAGTGCAGGGTTTCCCACACATAGACTATACTTGGGCGGGCCGCCCAGGTATATTAACGGCCGCCCAAGTATATTTCGCGACCCATTTAGTTTTTTTTTTTTTTTTTTTATAATTTTTTTTTTTAATATTTTTTTTTTTTATTCGTCCGTGACCACGACGCCATCTGCGATCGCTTAACTTGTGGACAATGATCCCTCGCTCCCTTGCTCTGATCTCGCCTCCTTCTGGCCTGTTAAGTGGCCTGCCTCACACAGGGTGACTGGCTGTCCACATGATGTGGCCTGCCGACATGGCCACTGTCATACAGATCATAAATCAAAGCCCTTGATTGGTCTCTGTGTGTCATTCAAGCTCGGGATAACCTCAGCTCAGGTGAGGTAAAGGACTCTCTGAGTGTTTAGATAGTTAACTTAGTCTAAGTTCTCAGTGGGTCTCAAACGGTGTGGTCACCATTTATGTAAACACATATTTCCATTTGAGAGGGTAGTGATTGGTCTAATGGATAGTGAGGTGGGCTGAAGATCGGAAGGCTGTGAGTTCAAATCCCGCCAGGAACACCAACACTAGTGTGCCCTTGAGTAAGGCACTTAGCCCTTAGTTACTCCAGGGAGAATGTCCCTGTAATCGGTCATTATAAGTCGCTTTGGATAAAAGCCTCAGCTAAATGAAATGTAATGTGATTAGTAAAATATGCATGAATAAATAAATAAAAAGTTAACTAGGTGAAAAAAGGTAAGATACACTTTTAAAACTTGTTGAGAGAAAACTAGTCTTTGCTGCTGCCTCAAAGAGGAGCAGGGGGAGAGGATGGAGAGGATGGAGAGGGGGGAGAGGAGGGAGACAGGAGAGGCTGATTCAGGAGCACAGACAACTATAAATGAACCAAAACTAAATTAATAAACAAGTTTCAGTGTTTTTTTCATATTGGAAATGGTATGTTATTGGTTATGGCCTTGATTTTATGATTATTTAAATGTATACAGTTCTGTTAAATATAGGTGTTTCCATAGATCTAGTCTCTTTATTTTCCCCTCAAAATGCACCAGATTGATGCATTTAACTCCAAAATAAAAAATAAAATCTTACCGGGGGGGCATGCCCCTGGACCCCCCTAGAGGATTTGAGGTCGACCCCCACTAAAAATCACATGGATAGGTTCCTAAATACATTAATAAATACATTTATTTTTTTAAATAGTAACCCATTTCCATATGTTCATGTGTGGGTAGTAGAGTTAAACTATAGGGCTATCATTATGGACCCTGCCTGTACCTGTTCGCTCTGCCATCGCGTGAAGGGTCTGCTAACAAGCGACCAACAGAAAGGTTAATGTTGTTGCACGTCACCTCAACCCCCACCGCTACCACCACCCCCCAAAGTATATTTCAGATCTGTGGGAAACACTGGCAGTTAATGGACCAGCACCAGAGGCATTCCCATACACACAGGCGTTGGAGCTGTTCTTCATGAAATCCCAGAAGGATGAAGTGCTCTGACAAACAGTGCCATCTTTGCGCAAAATGATTATACCGGAATGAAAAGTCAATAAATAATGTTGTTAAAACTTTTTTTTTTTTTTCGCTCACCCCCCCCCTTGCCACCACCCGCCCAAGTATATTTCATATCTGTGGGAAACACTGCAGTGACTTGACATTCTTCCAATTCCCGGCTATTTTTCAAATGGGCAAAAACTCTGGATTGGTGGTGAAACTGGTGCGGGACAGGGTGAGAGCAGAGCACACAGCCAGCGGCTGCGACCTGTGATGGTATATGTCACTCAAAGCCCACAGGTAGGCATAACTTTTAGGCCGTATTACAGATAACAGGTAAAAGTCCCAACCCCTAGTTGTCATGAATGGGAGAATTCGCTACAGAGACCAAAATGAGTTCATTGTACCTGACTAGGGATGTAACGATATATCGAATATCGCGATAAATAAATGTCTCAATACCGTCGTGAGACTGACAAAATCTACCGTGATTTAAAAAAATAATTAAAAATATTTTTTTCTTTTTTTTTAAACCTTTATTCAACCAGATGGTCCCATTGAGATCATCGATCTCTTTTTCAAGGGAGACCTGTCCAACATGGCAGCAAGTAGGTTACAACATGAACATAAAACAACAGAACACAAAAGGACATCGTATTTACAGGGCTACATGTACATACCTAGAGACATTGACAAGTACCAACAGTATATGTATATCTCGCCCTGTCAATAAGCCTCACCTTCTTGGCAAAAACTGTATTGTTTTTGAAGTGGTGGAGAGACAATGCACAGTTTTACCCACTGCTGTCACCCATGGCCAAAGCATATCTCTCTGTCCCAGCAACATCAGTACCAAGCAAGAGAGTTTTTTCCACAGCAGGGGCTATTGTAAACGCCCAAACATCCCAGCTTCTACCTGGAAATGTGGACACGCTCATATTCCTAAAAGATAACCTTGATGACGCTGAGTGAGTGAGTTAGAGTTGAGTTACTTGAAAAACTAAAGTAAAACTTGATTTATTCTATTGCAGGGTCTGATTATTATATTGTTGACACTTTAAAATACTACTATCCTACTAAAATGCTGTACAAATCAGATTTATTATTTAATAAAGAAAAAAAAAACATTGTTGTTCTTTATTTTTCAATACCGCGATAAATATCGTACCGTGGACTTTTTATCGCGATATTATCGTACCGTGAGTTTTTGGTATCGTTACATCCCTATACCTGACTGTAGCAGACTTTCTGCTGAAAAGTCAGGCCTTTTTCAATTGGGTTCAATGGGGATGACTTGCTTTTAGAGCCAACATCAAGTGGATGTTTAAGGAACTGCAGTTTGGCGCACCAAAAGTTGCTTCTTCAGTGGTTTTCAACTGTTGTAAGAAATACCTGGAGGTATATGCCAATGAGCCTGCATGGTTTGTTGAATCCCATGACCCAAGCAGCCCGCAAAAAATGACCACTTGTCTTAGTTCCCAGTTTGTTGGTTGATAGGCACTCAAGATACACAAATGTATATGCTTAAACACAGAAAAAGTGTTTTTTTAGAACTGCTTTAATAAATTACAATATGTTTCCTTTGATTTCTTACATTATATTTTCAAATCTTGCTGCGTGTCTCTGACACACTGTACCTGTCTCCACTGAAGAAGTATGTGTATCCATTGGGCTCCCACCAGATTGCTGTGTCAATCTTGTGAGCAGGGACTCCCTGTCCGTACTGATGTAGAGGCTGTGGGTATCCCGGCACAACGTCAGCCTCCCTGAACACCCAGTATTGTTCATCTGCGGGGACAAAATGATTGAGTTTACATGTTACGTGTTATATGGCAAAGAGAGGGGGGAAATATGAGAGAAAAGTTAATGAGGGAGAGAAAGAAAGGAGGGAGAAAAAAGCCATGGCACATGAAGTCAAAGTGATGGCCAGAGCATATGGCATATGTCATGGGGTTTACTCACTCCAGAAGAAAAGTAGAAAGGACAGTGAAGTTAGAAATAGTAGGCACAACACTTATTTTCCAAGATTTACCCATGTGGGAGCCAATTTCTTGTATAAGTTCATTTTTTGGAAACACTTTTAAGCCACTTTCCACCTACACTGCCAGGACACTGGAGAATTGCAACATACTGTACTGAGCTAAGTAGCTTCAGTAAGTCTGTGCAGAGGGGCTTCTAGAAATTAGTGCAAATATGTTTACATTATGTTCTTCGTACTACAGGTTTTAAATCATTTTGGATTCACATGAGCAACATTGTCGCAGATTCGGAAGCATTTACTTTCAAATCTTAGGAGATAAATACAAATATGTAACAGTTATCACCCATGGATGTTAATGAGTGTTAATCAATTCAAGCCCAATGTTCCAAATGTTCCTGAATGGGGTTAACAATCTGTGCAGCATACGTCAACCACCATTCTCAGATTTGGATAATGAACCCCACCCCACCCCTAAAAAAGCCTTTCATGGGTAATAAAAGAAAATCTGTGATCGAAAGTAAAGAAAATCCTGAAAATGCATCACAAATCACCACACGGCCTGACTGTAAAAGTGAGTGCTCTGCAGCTGTTAACATCTGGAGCAGCGTACTGCAGGAAGGCTGATGCAATCCTCCACCTCTCCCAGGAGGCCTGTTGGGGCTCAGCTGGAGCCACAGAGTCACACTGGAGCAGCGACAGCCGCCACGCTGCACAGGCCTCGCTCAAGACGCCAAATGATCTCAGCAACACACACTTATACACACACGGACTCTGTGATGCACATGCAAACACACAGTACACTCAATAGTTTCCATCTGCAGAAATATTGTCACAGTGTTAATACAATGAATCATGATCCTCTTCTTGTGTTATATGTCTGCCAAATACCAAGAGTTATAGCCTTGTTGAATTATTTCCTTATCCTCGTAAATCACATTGTTTGCTTGTAAAGAAAATGCTGAGTTTGCGCTGCTTTCCATTCAGTCCGACCCGTTTAAATCAATGCACAGATTAGTGTTGATCTCCACATCTTGTGGTTATGTAACAGCTCCACATTGGCTCCAGCTTTGCTTGGGGGAGAAACATTACGGAAATTAACCGGCCTCTTGTTGTGCCCTTAAGCGAGGAGAAAAACCATAACACTGCCTGCTTTTAAATAGCTTCTTAAAACCCACCTCTTCTCCTTAGCGTTTTAACATTTGGCGTTTCAACATCTTTCAGAGTGTTGCTTTTTTGCATTTAAATAGTTTTTTGTTTTTACTTGTACTTGTTTTATGGTGTGTGAGCTGAGCTGTATTACTTTTTTGTATGCTTTGTTTTATCTATTTGCCTGTACAGCACTTTGGTCTGGAGGTTTAAAGTGCTTTATGAATAAAGTTGTATTGTATTGTAAAGCTCAGTGTGGGATTTTAATAAAATGCAAACCTAACAGAGTGCAGTCCACTCAGCATGTTGACAGGTTTTATTGGTGATAAACAGCTTCGGCATACCTTTAAAGAAGACAAATTTTCCATCGTGGCGCTCGTAAGCTGCGTCAATGTCACTAGGCAGGCCGATCCAGAAGACTGATATGGGCATGGGGTAGTTATCCAAGACCCGGTTCCTCCGCACACGCCAGAACCAGCGACCCTGCCAAGCAAAATAATGATGTTTATCTTTTAGCTTATCTTCAGTCAGAATTATTTATTGTTCACTTCCCATTGCATGACTTGAATGTTGTTTTGACTCAAATAACGGTCGTGTTTAGATCGTACATCTTTCATGTGCTTGTTTTTATCAGGTCAGGGGTTATAAAAACACTAGTGGCAGTTTTATTGCGGTCCAATCCAAGCAAACATTTATATTAAACTGTGTTTCTGAACAACCATATGAAATACTTCTTTACTTCTCACCTTAAAAACAAACATCTCCCCCCTCAGCATGGTCACCGTGTCAAAGTCCCCGTCACAGATATTGGGGGGCTGGTTGTCGGGCAGTTTGGGAGGGCGGGGAGGAGCAGGGGGCTGAGGAGGAGGCGGAGGAGGCGGGACATCTCTTCTGACGTACGGGGTGACAGGGTCAGGCTGAGAGTCTGTGGGGGTGGAGGTGCGGAGGACGGGAGGAGAGGTAGGGCTGTGGCTCGGCTCCGGGGGGGCTGGGGGGTGTGGGCTGCGGTCGGGCGGGTTGGGCGGGGGGTCGGTGGGAGAAGTTGAGGTGGGTTTATCTTCGGGTGGAGAGGAGGAGGTGAGGGAGTCATCGTCAGGATTGTTGTCATGGGGGGGAGGAGAGGTGGGTGGAGCAGCCGTGGGGAGGGGGGGGCCTGAGGATGAAGAGATGGAGGGCTTAGAACAAGTTAAAGATTTGTGAGGATTTATTTTTCACGCTCATATTTCAACTGAAAAATGTCAATCTGAAATTAAATAAATGCCTCATTAGAAATCAATCACTTCTCTCCCGCTGAATGTCTTCTTCAACTCTCCCTCACACAAAGAAAGAAAGCCTAATTTACCATTATGAACAGCGGCTATAAGCTCACTTGACTGCGACTGTGCTGCTGCTCTTTGGAAAAAACGACCCGCTGGTTGCTAAGCGATGGAAATACACAGATACAGCTATACAATTATGTAATATGTACGGACAGCTGATGGGCCCATAGACGTATTGAGTTACTTGTTCTTCCAACGCTGTTCTGCCTCCAACCTTTGTCCACCTTTTTTCTCTGAAAAATTAAGATTCAGATGTCCAATGACTATGGTTAAAATGTGGCTTAAAAGTGGATAAAACCGTGAATTTATGACAACCACTATGTAACGTTGAAAGCATTTGAAAGGGGGGTGAGATGTCACCAGAGGAGACTAAATGAAAAATACTGTTACCTTGATTAAAAAGTGGTAGCTCCATGTTTAAAATAGTTTGAAACATTTTGGTTACATAATTACACAAATCAACAGGATATATAACATACGTTTAATCTTTTGTAGTCATTTTATTGATAAGATATTTCACTTTTAAGTGATAAGTAAATAGTTGAGTAGCTAAAAACGTATCGGCCTCTTGAATAAAAATCTCTGTCAAAGGAACGCAAATGTTTGTGATTTATTCTCTATTCAATCAGAGCTTTTCTCTAGCTCAGTGCTTCGTTGCTCCGTTTGATTTAGGGAACTACTGTATAATTTTAGCCAAAACATTTACCTCACAGTATTTACAGCAGCAGGCCTGAGTAGGCGTATCAATAAGCCAGAGTTGTGTGGGTATGGAAAGATTGGGAGTTTCCTGGGCAAACTTTAACTATAGGAGGAACATTCAAATAGTACACTTAAATGTTTTATCTGTATTTGTATCTGATACAAGAGAGGCGACCGTTTCGGAACAATAGATGGTAATGAAAATAGTTTTTGTCTAAAAATCAGTAAACAATGTCTGCAATGGATTTATGTCTTCAGTTTAAGAGACAAATTAGTGTTTCGGCCTGTAATTACAGCTCCTAAAACATGGCCGCAGCAGACAAATAGCAACACATATATACATAAAGGACACTCTAAAACACATATGAGGCTTTTCTCTAGCCAACAGGCACACATACAAAGATGTCATCTGTCAATTAACAATGCCATCCATTGAGAAGAGAATGCATGACAACATCATAACGGCACGCAAGATATGCTGTATTGAGCGAGGTTCTTGTGATTTATGTGTGTGGTTGGCCGTTTGCACAGAGCTTCTTTCGAAGCCTTCTTGTGTTCCTGTGTGCAGATGTGATACAGCCGATTGTCTGCACTTCAACCCTTACTGATTTTAGATCCAAAAAGCATGAAGAGTATGAAGTCAAAACATCAAAAGAGTTCGAGTTCAGTTTGTTTTGTGTGTTTCTGCTAAGGCTAAACCATGATACTAATCAGGTCTTGGTGGTAAGGTTAGAAAAGGCTTTCTAGTTGTGTATATCAATGAATAGATCTTAATCAATGTAAGCTGTGTTATGGTTCAGTTAAGTATCTTTGCACTAGCTGATGGAAAAATCTGACATTAAAGGGCTCACTGTGTCAAGTTCAAATCCAAATTCTGCTCTGGTGGTGCCTTAAAATACTGCATTGTTGAAGCCATAAATAAAACCAATGATATAAATAGGTGTGTCTGGACAGTGCGTGCCTCTTACCGTATATGTACTGTATTCCTTTGATGTCATCCTCGTGTAGGGAGAAGTTATGTGTGTGAGTCCACTGGTAGAGAGGAGCCATTATGGCGCTGGGGTTATCAGAGTGCTCCAGACCCAAAGCGTGACCGAGCTCATGGACCGCAACCAGGAAGAGGTCAATACCTGCAGTGACACACATATTGTTTGTACATTTGTTTAAATATTTATACAAAAAAAATGTCAAATGACAAAGGAATTAACTTAATATGATACAGTTGATTCATATTGGCAATAGACTAATTTTTTGCTAAAAACGTATCATTATGAAGTAACTATAAATTGCACATGTAATATAAAATAATGACACCATCTGCATTTATATTGGTTCCCTATAGGCTTGATTTCACTATGCAACTCTGTATGCCACCGGGGTGCATTCTCATGGTAAAATGAAGGCTCAATGTATACCATAAAGGAAGTGCATCAACTATTGGGCAACCAAAACAGGAAGAGGAAAGCTAATAAATATTTTTAACAAGCTAAATGGCTGGTTAGATTTTATTAGTATGGCATTACAGCAAGCTTGTAGACACATCCAATTCTCATGGACATGTACCCAGTGAACCTTTACTGCTGCAGCCCAGTTAACCAGAAGAGACAGAGAAATGATGCTGTTGCCAAAAGGTCACAAGTTCAATCCCCACTAGAAAAAAAGAGTCAACTGACTTACCTTCTGGGTTTTTATTGTCCAATGTCCAAGGCTCATCTTCATCAAAGTGTACATCCCCACCGATTCCTGGTCCGGGGTAGTAGGCATGGGCCAACGACCCTCCCTCGCCATCAAACAATGACATATCACCGTGGTAACCAGAGGCAAACAACAACAGGATGTCAGAGAGCTCTGACTTGCTGCCGTTGATGCTGTGGTTGTTGTGTTCAGCAGGTAACTCCTCAAAGGTGAGCGGCGTGACCCGTCTCCACACGTCGAAGGCGTTGCGGATAGCTTTGTACGTCTGCTCCTCGCCCAGCAACGCGTGATATTTTAATAAACTAGAGCCAGAAGAAAAAGCCTATTAGAGATGTTATGCTATTGCTTTGTTGTTGAATTTCTTTTACATGTCAGTGCTATAAACCTGTAGGTGATGTGGTCTTTGTCCCACTGCTTTCCAGTGAGAGTGTAGCGCTTCTTTCTAGCACCAACATCAATCTCCTCTGCCTTTCTGTCTGGGAGGCCACAGCGGGGCAGACGCATCGCCCTAAGCACACAGAAACAGACACACACATTACAAACATAGGATTACAAACGAATGTCACCAACATGCTAACCTAGCATGATGACTTTTTTTTCATGGCCATAAACTTGACCCTTATACTGTTTGCGGTAGCTTTTGTGATTTCTTGAAATGTTTTATTTATAGTCCTTTTTGATAGACTCTTCACAAAGCTGGACATTATTATTCTAAACCAGCATGGAGCACTTAATCTAAGCCCTTTTTCAGGACTAATCTCTGACAAACTAAAATGTGAAAACAAAGTGAATTTGTCATGTTAAAGGAATAGTTTGACATTTTGGGAAACACACTTAATCACTTTTTTGTCAAGCATTACTGTAAATGAGGCGACTGCCAGTAGCCGACTTAGCTTAGCACAAAGACTGGAAAAAGATGGAAACAGCAAGCCTCGCTTTGTCCATAGGTAACTACAAACATGTTTTCTTTTTTACTTGGTTTCTGTTCTTTAAGGGATTAAACAACAACACATTATGTGTTAAATAATGATGTGCTGATATGCAGATTCTGTTAACTTTGCAGAGAGCTAGGCTAGCTGCTTCCCCTTTTCCTGTAACAGGGCTAAGCTAAGCTAATTGGTTGCTGCTGCTTTTTTAGCTTCACATAACAGTGGTATTAATATGTGTTCTCTTACTCTTGGGAATAAGGAGTATTTACAAAACTTTTCCTCTAAGACCTTGTCATTTTTCCTAGAACTTCCAGGGAACAGGTCTAATAAAATGAGGCCACAGATGAATGTGAGGATATATAACACAATAGCCTGACTAGCCTCATTAGTTATGATGTGATATAAGCTAAATTAAACTATAATCCAAACCATATGGGCATAAAAACGTATTACAAGCTGGCATTGTTTCTCCGCCCCTGGTAATACAGACAAATTAATATGACAAAGTTATTATGTGATGGGGAAAAGCCAGAGCTATGAAAAAAATTGCTTCATGATGGTTGAGGTTTGTTGACCGACCCGAGGCCATAGAAGGCATACAAATGAAGGATCTAAAAAATGGCAATCAATGTAAAATAAAGTCCAACATGATTTTAAAAAATCCCTCAAGATCTCTGGATTCAGTTTGTGGTCACTGCTCACACAAACGTAAAGTGATGTTGCGTGTCTTTGGGACAAAAACAACTGCAGAATAAAACCAAAATAAATACTTTCTTACACAACAGTAGCAGGGTCCATCTCTCCGGTCACCTCCAGGCCATAGAAGCGCTGCATGTCACCGATGGCTTTGGAAAGAATCTGAGCCGACTGCATGGTGGACATCTGACCGCTCGCCTGAGACAGGTAGCCAAATTTACGAAGCCACGCCTGTGAGGAGACAGTCAGATTTACTTAGTCTTCCTTTGGAAAAGTTCCTAAACACATGTTTGTTTTTGTGTGTGCGATACATTTGTATGACAGCTACAACTGTTTAGGCTTATCCACTGTCTAATGACTAGAGGGAGCATCTGAGGAGTTAAAAGAAAAGTAGAGATAGAAACCAGATGGCTTCTATTAACATTACGACATTCCTGCGCCTTCTCCACACTGACAGCCAAGATGAGGAAGAGAACAGAGGAAGAAGTGGAAACAGGAAAACTAAAAGGGCAATAATAAAACTGTATGTCACTGCTGTAGTTAAACACAAAACTCTGCATGAGTCTACTTAAAATAATGGTAAAAGGCTTACACATGCTGAATTTCCCCTTTTTGCTTCATGTTTGCTGACAGTGAAATTGAGCGTGTAGAGACTTGTAGCCAGGCAAACAGGACCATGGCTCCTGGGGGGGCATCTGTAAAGTTTTGAGTTCTGCCCTTTAAAAAAGCCTTGAGAGCTCAAAAACAACGCCACAGGCCCCCTCATACAGATGGATCATGGGACTCGTACCTTCATGCATGTATGGGATGAACTTAGGCCGGGGGCAAAACACACACTCGCAACACAAAAACTCATCATGCATGAACACACTCAGGCAGAGAAAAACCTTAAAAGACCATTTCTGCATAGCATGACAAGTCTTGACCCATGTAACCTTAACGTGGGCTTATTCACCTGTGCCTAAAGAACATGAAAGAAGATAAGTAAAACCTCTGGAGGATATGACTGGATTCAACATTGTGATATTCTTACATTGTTATATAAATCAACAATATGGTATATACATGAGAATTACATTTAACAGAATGTCATTATTTTTAAAACCACAACATTAATAACTTATCTTGTGAAAATCTGAATAATGGTAACCCCTATATTCAATATACATAATCAGGATACTACAGACACTTCATACACGCTTTAATGTAGTTTTCAAACAAATATAAGGAAATGAATAGGAAATGTTCTGTCTATCAGACAGTGGTGTTCAAACAGTGATAATAATGTCAATGTCACTTATTTTGCTTAATTTATGTACTTGCATTGCTGTTCTATTTTGCATGGATCTTTTATATTACTTCTAGCTACTGTGTGTTATATGTTTCCAGTTTAAAACGGTCTCAAGAAGACATCACCAACTCATGGTCAATTTAATATTTGTTCTCTAAATCTTAAACATACACTCTTTTACAAGTTTGAAAATCAACTATTCATGTGGATATCAACTATACAAATATATTTGAATTGTATTATACCTGTAGCCTATTACTTAATCAAACATAAAGGATTTTTGTATTCCCTAATTCTGGAGGCTTCTTAAGATAAGTTGACAAATACATAAATCAACTCTTTAAATGACCTACAATTGGCTTACAAATACAATCAGAGAAAGTTGTTTCATTGTTCATATTCTGGTTATACAAATAAATGCTAAAAGTGTTGTTTTTGTAATTCAAGATTATATGATCTTTACATGATTCTACAAAAGGCAATACCATTTTATACATAGGCGTGTACCTCAAGTGCTGTGTTGTGATTTGGAAAAAGGTCAAATGACACCCCTGCAGTGCTAGAACCCACCTGATGCTTTGATGTTTAACAAAAACAAACATAAGGATATGCACTTATAACCTGCTTATGAACACAAACAAGTATACAATAAACTGAGAAAATGATCTACTCACACTTATAAATAAATTGTATGAGTAGGCTATTGTAAATTAAACTAATTAAGTTTTAGAATAAAACTACAAAAAGGGAATATCGTAACCATCTAGAAAAGTATTGTCTGTACCCAGATCCAGATGTTATACCTCAGCATTGAAGCCTTCTTCCTCCGGGACATCTGCTGCCGGGCTGCTCGGAATCAGGCAGAGTAAGGACCACAAAGTGATAATGCTCTGAGTCCAGGGCTGTTTGGGTGCCATCTTCCTTTTGCTGTTGTGGGGTGATGAAGACGTGGTGACAGAAAACACTCAAAACAGCCAAACAACTTCCTCCGGCAGGACAAAGTGCTGGACTTCTTCTCTTCTCCTCCTCTTACATCAAATCACAACCCTCCGCAACAAGTAGCCCCACTATCTGCTAATTGTTTGGGTTTGAGCACCAGAAAAAATTGCTACAAACTATGTAAAATAAAGTGCATTCACTGAACCTCGGAAAAACACGAATCGAGATGATACTAATCCATTCCCGGTTGCATACTGAGCGATTTGTCCTGGGCCAGCAGCCTCATGGCTCATCCAAGTGTTCATACAGCAGCTCCTTTCATGCACTCAGCTAACAGTGTAGCCGGCGGGCACTAAACTAGACCTTGCCCCCTTTTCCTTCGTCTACAATGGCTGATCAGACCAGCAGGCAGCAGCTGGAGCACAATGAGAAGTGCTGCAACAAGTCTCATCAAATACACTGCAAACACGGGATTAGCACACGACAAGTATTTTTTGAAGTTCAGGAGTTTCTGAACTTGTTGCGTAATGTTGCACACGACGAAAACAAAAAGAAAATCTGGACTCCAGAGGCAGGATATCAAATTTCACCTGCACCGTTTTTCTCCATAGTAGACGTACATTGCTTTTAACTCTAAACGGAAACGCGTTCTGTCAATATTTTCGAGACCGCCATCAAACAGCTGGGTTTCTGATAAAAGATGTGTAATGATTTTAAGAGACGAGAGCCCTCCTCCCTTCGCACAGCAGACCTGACTCAGCGTGCCATCTGCTGTCCTCACGCGAAACTACCTGCTGCTGATGGAGTCATTTGGGACAGGAAGCACATACTATTATGCATGGAGGTAAATTAGGTTCGCGTTTAGTAGGCTATATTACACAATCGATAGCATGCATTAAAGTGAAACACTTCTAATGAAATGTTATGAGGATTGTACCATAAATCTATATGTGAACATGTAGAAAATATTAACCAACCCTGACCAACATTATTATTATTATACCTCAGCACTGAAGCATTCCTCCTCCGGAATTTCTCAAAGTGAAATTCAACTGGTTTTGCATCCATATTTTTTATTCAATGTTAATTTGCTGTTGAAAGTAAAAGGTCAGTCGCCCTCCTGAACACAACTTTAGCTTTGGAAATCTTATCAGGAAATAAATAAAAATAGATATGGTTTCTTTTTAAAGTTTTATTGAAGCTGCCAACAGCAGCATTGTTGTTGTCAGTGCTCCTCAGTTTGTGCAAGCCTCCTGCTGCCTGCTTTGGCCATGGTGATGAGGATGATGAGGAAGAAGCCAACCGTCCAGACAGCGGCTACAGGAAGCACCACCGTCATCAGTACGCCTGAAACAAACAGATAAATGTGGTATCCACTGCAGTTAAGTATATATTCTAATGAGGTCTACAGAGAGAGCAGAGATAGTTTGATTACTAGATTGAGCTCCGTCTGGCATTTCAATCCGGATGGGTCCATACGACAGGAGGCCCAGGGCGGGGTCTGCTCTCACCGCTTCTCTCTTAGCGATCGATTTACAGTTCTGTAAACAAAAACAAGAAATAACAGGTAGCCAAATAGGAAAATATGTTCATTTTCTTCGAGGTGTAACACATGAGGCCTAAGGGTTTCGGCTTCTTGGTACCAGGTAACAGATCCAAGTAAGTCAATTGAGTGAGCTCACAGGTGTGCAGGACACGTGGTCGTCTGGTTCACACAGCTGGACAGTGCAGTGCAGATAGAGGTCGTGAGGTGTGGATGTGAAGCGAAACATGTCGAAGCTGTAGCGAACAGTAGAACTGTCTCCGTTACGGCCAGGCTGTCCCGTGCTCCCGTTTAGAAAGACAACAGTTTGGTCATTCACACACCTGAATAAAGAGATGGAAATAAGGAGTAGGAATGGGTGGAGTGGGGCTCATATTTAAAAATGAAAGGGAGACAAACTGTTGATATTCGAGAGCTGCTCTGACCCGTTCATAAGCAGCGTGTGAACCAGGCCCTCTGCAGTTCTAGGCTGGGAGGACTGTGTGGCCCAGCACTCATTGATCCGGACCAGGAAGAAATCTGCAGGCTCTGTGACCGTCACCTCCACATACACCTGGACACATTGCCATTTAAAAGTCACACTAAAGCCATCACCGACATGAAACAAAATGAATTCTCAAAATTGTGTTTCAATATGATTTAACACTACAAATATGTGAGGCTTTTAAAAATTGTTCAACCATTTTGCTGTGTTTATGAATATGGAAAGCATTTTGGCAATAGGGTTGTTGGGGCATTAAAGCATACAGTCAATTCAATCTAGCTAAAGCCTTGGATTTAAAATTGTAACCATACCTTGTCTCTGAGCTCGATGGTGGGGGAACTGCTGTAGGCCTTAGAGTAGGACTGGTCTGTGTACAGCATCAGCTCTATTGTGGCATCAAGTTCATCTACACGTATCACTGCCTCACTGCCATGTACACAGAAGAGGCAAGAAAACAAAAAAGAGAGTTTGGGGACCAAGTGCAAAACGCAATTCCACTATGTATTAAATAATATTATTTTTTTCCATTGCAGCGCACAGTAAAATAAAAATGTTAGGAGGCCATCAGGGGGCACTATGGCTTTGGAAAACATCTCAAACGTACGTGTGATTAGAAACCACAGAACCATGCACTTGAACAGAGACGATTCCCTTCCTTATAGTTGTACCTACATTAAGTGAAACTGTTGGTGGACTGGTGCAACCTGTAAGCATTTCTATTCAACATCCTTACCTGGAAAAGGGGATGACCGGGAAAGGTAGGCTGACTCTCCTGATGTATGGATAGATGCATTTGTAATCAATCTTAATGACTGGATTTCTGATGATGTTTCCAGTAACCTGAGGATCTGACAGTAGACTCAGGGAATAGGAGATGTGAGTAAAGTTTTTCTGTAAGAAGGGGGGAAAAAAGCATCAAATGCAACATTGTGAGGGAGAAATACTAAAATCTTTTTTCTACTGAACAAGGAAAAGAAAGTGTAAGGCATGTAACGTAAATAATGCTTGAGGTGTACCTCCAGCTGCTTGCCTCCACAGGCTAGATATTTCTCTTTAGTTATCCGGGACATGTAGTACGGCACACCATGGATGACTTCTCTCTGAGCACGGCAAGATTTGTTGGACAAGTGCAGGGACTCCAGTGGCACGTTGTGGTACATGAAGAAATCCTCTAATGCTCTGACTGTTATGTAGTCCCTGCCACACATTACTTGTATGTGTGCATCTGTAAAACGTAAGGTTATTAGGTATGCAAGGCAGGTGGCTGCATGAGATTCACAGGAGGACACATGCACTGTTAACTATACAAACACAATAAGTATGTTAAGTGTTTTCATTTGTTTCCATCTGTCTTGATTGCAACAACTTATGAGCCTAACATCCATAGCATAACTCTGTCATTTACAGTACAGCTATTCTGCTTATGTATTTGTATTCAAGTTGTATGGACAGAACAAATGTTCCTTTGCGGGCAATTGAACAACATGTGTACAAATCTACAAAAAATGTTTATATATTTGGTGTAAATGATTACTCCGCCTGTGAAAACGATGGCAAAATATCTTCCTGCCTTTAAAAAAAAGTACCCTGAAATAATTAAGAGTAACATTTAACAAAGTAATTTCTTGGACTTGGTGCCTAATGAAAAGCTGCAAATTGGGGCAAGGATTTTGAAATGTTGGCAATTACCAGACAGACAGTGTCTCGCAAAAGTATGCTATTGTGGGAAATGTAGAATCCAATATTTCTGGACAAGGACCCTTGCTAATGAATAAAACGTTATTGTTTTTAAAAAAAAGATATTTGCCTTAACTTTAAGTGTAATAGGCCTCCTAAATATTTAAGGTGCTAAATTAGGAACTGTAAGAGCCCCTTCTGTAAAAGAAAATACATTATTTTAGGCAGAGTGAATTGTAAAAATAAGTAGTAAGAAATGAATAGGAATGCGCATACCTTTGTCACATTGGTCGCCATAATATCCAATGGCACATTTGCAGCTTCTTTGGTCTTCGGACAGAACACACCTCGTGGGGTCCGTGCAATGCTCCACGCTGCACCTTCCTGTACAGTTAACAAACATAACTTTATACTTCGACAAGCAACATAACTTTTGATATTTTTATTATACAAGTAGACACCCTTACCCTGAACAAGATGATGCGTGCACCCAATGAGTAGCACGAGGACCACGCTCAGCTGGTTTGAAGAAAAAACATTTCCACTGTAACTATTAATTTATTTATGTATGTCTAGCTAGGCTAAGATAGGCTACGTTATCACTTTAGCCTGACGCTACAAACACGTTTAGCTTTGTTTTCTTACATGAAGTATTACAACTCAACATTTGTATCCACACCCACCTTCAAGCCGACGAGGATCATTTATGTTGTTTTTTTGGGTAACAAATATATTTGAATCTTATATTTAAATGCGATATATATCTTTTTTGTTTGTCAAAGGGAAGCGCTCCTCTGTTGTCTTCGTTGTCAACACCTGCTGCTCTCTAATTAAGAACACCTGTCGATGTTGGGTCTGCGATTCTGCTATTTATAGTCTATGTTCATTGGTCAATATAAAGTATTTCAGCAATATCTAAAACCAGTTACATTTACTTAGGTACTTGTACATTGCTTGAGTATTTTCAAATTAGGCTATTTTATATTTGTACAAATTTCTTGGCAAATGTTTAACTTTTTAAATAACATATTTAGTCACTAGTTACTTTGCAAATGTTGGTTATTAATACAACATATAAATCAACACACATTATAATATAATATTAAAGTTTAAGCTACTCTGAAGTGTATACAGTAATTCAAATTAACCCCACCTTTAGCAAGTGCAACATTAAATTGTTGAACACATAAATGCACACATATCTTTGATAAAATGGCCATTTTGCATAACGAGTACATTTACTTTTGGTACTTCAAGTATTTTTTTGTGTTAATATTGTTTTTATTTTAGTACAATTATGATTGCAGGACTTGTAACTGAGTATTTTTACACTGTAGAATTAATCATTTTACTTACGTAAATAATCTGAGTATGTCTTCCACCTCTGTCTGAAACAGATACCCTCCAAACCCCCACAGACCTCTGCACTGTGCACTTACCAAACAGTAGTTTTAGACACACAATGCTGATATTTTCCTGTAGATGTCACTACTGGCCAAAGTGGTTTAGTGCTTTGGAAAGTTTACCCCCTCACTACTTCAGTATGTGAAATAGCACTACAATTAAAAAGGAATTATGAATCTTACATGCAAAGATGGGAGAAGTACTCAGATCTTGTACTTGAGTAAAAGTAGAAGTACCAGAATGTAGGAATACTCTGTTAGAAATAAAAGTCCTGGATTTAAAATGTTCCTCAAGTAAAAGTACAAAAGTATTGGCATCAAAATGTACTTATTATGCAAATGTTACATTTCAGAATAATATATATGTTTTGATTATATTTATTGATGCAGTAAAGCGTTATCAAAGCTGGTAAAGGTGAAGCTAGTTTTAATGACTTAGAAGTACAAAGTAGCATAAAATGGAAATAGTCGAGCAAAGTACAAGAATTTCAAAATTGTACTTACTGTAAGTACAGTACCTTGGTGAATGTACTTAGTTACTTTCCACCTCTAATTACATGTCCACTACACCTCAAACTAAATGTCTGTATTGGGGAATCTCTAAGATAACTTATTTTTGAATAGAACATTTACTAAACCACATCCTACAAACAGTAAAAGGGAGTTGGAATACATAAATAAAACCTTTTTTTTAGGGTCAGCAGGTCAAACAGTGTGGGACTCTCTGGGTGTCTTTAGGGAAAGCCATAAATGGGTCACTGTATTTCCTGCAGTGCCAACTCGGCACACCCGGAGGCCACAGTCCATATTCGCAGACATCATCAGGCAGGCCATTTTCCTTTTTGGGTGCAGACCATCTGTCTTTGATAGGACAGATCAAGGGAGTCAAGGGAGGCACCATGATGGATGAGGCACGTTTGCAGCAGATCATATGGCCTGAGATAATACAGTGTGTTGTATCTGTTTCTTTTCTATTAGTGCTGGCTTCACCAAACCCTCATTCTCTGATAGATCCTTCATGGTAAACAAATATAAAATGGTCTACAAATATTCAGATGGGATAAATTACACAAAGGATGAAGAAACGGTTACAAATGGCTGCCTATAAAAACAATCTATTCTTAGTTCAGAAGCATCCCATTATTATCCACAACATTGAGCAGGGTGTGTTCATACACCTCAAGACTCCCATCTCTGCGGAGTGGATTTCATTAGCATATCAAACAGTTAAATCACTGCATTGAAACCTCACAACACATCTTGTAAGCTTTAGTTTACTGATCATACATTTCTACTTCTTTTGCTGCCTAGTTTGTCTTTGAAATTGAAATAAGCTCTTAATGATCATCTTAAAGCGCCTCACAACTGCGGGCAAACAGCAACACAACAGAATCGTCAGAGAAAATTGTTAATATTTATTAACAAAGCAAAACAGATTCAACAAGTTTAGGAAGGTTTATAAAAAAGTCAGTGTTTAAATGAATGTAACTTCGTTTTGTCTCCTAACTGAAAGTATGTATCTTGATTGAACACATAAGTTATTATATCTGAGGGAATGAGTGAAATAATAATGATGATATGACCATATAATCAGGAGTAAATCATCCTAAAAATATAAATAACATCACAGTTAAACTCGTTTTAAATGCACCCTGTGTGCATTTGGTACTGGACTAATACTTCAGACTTGATTTGTATTGGCCCCCTCAGCAGCATCATGTGGGATTCTTCGTCTCGTCGTCAGTGGTGCGGTGCCACCCTGGTGTTGTGAAATAGCCGGGTTTTAGGAGGTGTCTGTCATCGGCCTGATTCACAACACCAGCTGCAGCACACACACCTGAGAGGCAGGCAGGGCTTCTGCTGCTGGATGAAAAAAACACACATACACACATGGCAGGTAGTACAAAAAGTGGGGATGCATTTATCGAGTTCTTTCTTTAAATAACTGATAATCGTGCTTCTTGTGACCATTACGATAAGACTATTAAAAGTATAATCTCACATAGTTTTGGGAATTGCATTTGTGTTGTCTCCCTCTGGTAGTGTATAGATACCTAGCTTTTAAAGGGATTAAAGCAATGTTGTTGTATATTAACAACAGATCATTTGTCAGCTATAATTTCATTATTGGAATATTATATAATGAATATTGATTCCCAGAGAATACTGCATCCCTGACAAAAAACATTGGAAGAGGCATCATTTTCAGGAGTGTGCAGCACAGTTGATCAACACATTCTGACAGTAAAAGCATCTAATAATAGCGACATAATCAGCATCTCACTTTAGTTTAGGACAGCAACTAGGATGTTGTTTATGTGCCAGGGGATTTTTTGATTGTTGGGCATAATATCAAGTGTTGCAGGGGCAGTGCTGAGTCTCTGCTCCCAGCATTGGAAAGCAGTTCAACAGCACGGGTGCCATAGTGCTTGGCTCAGCTTGGTCTGTGGCCGTGGATGAACCTCACGTCTCTGTGCAGTTATGTGGAGCAGCCAAGACAGAATGAGCCTCCATCTGTGTGCTCTCAGGCCAGACTGAAGGACAGAGTGAGAGCCACACATTTAACAGAAGGGACGACGGGTGATTGTTTCTGAAGATTTGCATGTGCTTGGGGGCTTGCAAACACCAGCCAAATGTATAGCTTAATGGCTTCTGTTGCTAGATATTTATTGGGTGTTTAGATTCCAAAGGGTGTTAGGTAGTTACTATGGTGCTCTGTAAGGTTGCTAGGGCCTTTTCTTCTAAATCTAACTTCAAGCGAGACATTTGAGGCCAAATGAACCATGACCCATAAGTCTAGCAAAGAAAGAGGAATAGCATTTTTCACACACATTTGCAATATCCTCAACAGGAAAATACGTAGCGCCAAAATGGAGGGACAATCCATCAAAACAATAATAATAAAACAGGCAGCTTTTCTTAAAGAAAACGTAAGAACCAGCACACTACAACTTTTTTTCGTCAAATAATCTGAAACCTAATGATTTATCAAGAGAAAAAGTGTTGCAGTTTTGTTAAAAATGTCCTTTCCTTTACCCACCCCTCTGATACAGAGACAGACCTAAAGCCGGGGGACAGGAGTGTCACAGATACTGAGAGCAGTCCTAGGAAACAAGGACAGCCTGCAACTCTCAGGACCAGGAAGACGGTGACATGCTCAATTATAATTAGAAAATATCTATATCTGAAAATCCCCAATCATTGCTCCACTCCATGGATAGATGATGACAATGAGAGTTTGCTCTGTACTGAGCCCAATGTTATTAATGCATATGTTGTCACTAGAACATTTATATTATAACTGTCCAATTTGAAGGGCAAATGGATTACAGATGAACAAGACTGACGGTTTGGCATATGAAACACTTAGTGAAAACAATGGGGGTTTTTTAACTGAGGGAAATTAATTATAAAACTGAGGCAAAATGAGAAAAAAAGGAAACGTAATGAACATTTAGTGGTTTCAAATGAAAAGACAACTGAAAGTAAACTTATTTTTTTTATTCCAAATCAACAAACATACAAATGTTAAACAACAAAACTGATAAATAAAGAACAAAAAGAGGGGTGATATAAGGATGTATCTTTAAAAAAACAAACGATGATCAAATGATTTGATACAAAAGAAAACGGTAAATGGAAAAGTGATTGTGACTGTCTGCAAAAACCTTTCTATTTGTAGCTCTGAATGTGTGTGAGTGAGAGTGTGTGTGTGTGTGAGTGTGAGAGCGTGAGTGTGTTGATGTTGTATCAGTTCATCAGTAATTCCATCTGCACCAGTCTTGCGTTGGTGTCCCCGGCCATGTTGTAGGGGATCATACCAGCAAAGGTGATCAGGGCTCTGGCCTGGTTGCGCAGTTGCTGTATGGAGAAAGAGAAGCAGAAGGAGGTCAAAGAAGAAGAACAAAGACATACCGGGTTAAACTGCAGTACTTCTTCTGTTTTGTGAATACAAAAAAAACAATATGATTGACGTTTGAATTTATAAAACAGTGGCAAATCTTCTTTAAAAATAGCAATGAAAATTATATTTTTTAATTAACATTCTCCGTTTTTTGTTACAGTTTTTAAAGAAGAACATTAAAATGATTCTTAGCAAGAAGATATTTCTGTTTATGTCATGGTAAGAGGTTATATTGCAATTATTTTTAATTCCAAAGTATCAATGTGAGTAAGGACCTTGCAAATACAGTTTCTATCATGCTCTGATTTACTATACATCTCCTCACCATGTCTCTGTCCTCTGCGTTCCTCTGGGGTCGCCCTGGTGTGCCCGCTGGCGCCCCCTTCAGGCGTTTGTGCTGCGTGAACAGGATGTTCATGGTGGCTAACAGCACCTCAGACAGGTTGTGGCGCACCTGAGGGACACATAAGACATTTTTAGAAAGAGTAAAAGGAGAATGCTGTGTATTGGGAAAAGGCTGGAGAGTCTCTTTTGAGTGTTCAGAGATCTTCACCTCATCACTGAAGTTCCTGAAAGCAGCCACTCGCTCCTCCACACTGTCCTGACTGAGAGGAAGAAGCTTTAACCGCTCCATCACCTGAGAGAGAAACACGGAGGAGATCATGAGTCCATCACTCCAATAGATAAATCATGGTGTCACAAAGTATGTCAAGATGGTACTTTAGTGTTAGGTTGCACTCACATCGTAGGCTCTGTCCACGTGTCCTGCGTGGTACTCATCGAAGAACGTTGTCAGGTCTAACAGCAGGTAGAAAGTACTATCCACAGACTTGTCCCCTGATACGCCCTGAGAGCGGTACCTGCAGAGGAAACACAACATATTCAGTTTTTATATAATGCTATTAGTTAAGATTTAAACTAGTGCATTGTATGCATGTGTGCTAACCTCTCAGCTATAGCCACTGCGGTGTTTTTTAGCCTCTCCTTGTTGGACTGAGGAGCGCTGACCTGAGCAATGACCGGACTCAGCAGCCTGTTCATCAACTCCAATACCTTATCTGGGTTCTACACGGAGACAAGAGGAAGGAAACAGTGAGCCGTTTGACCAACCCAACACAATGAGCACCCTTTAACTGTCAAACACTAGTAAATGATGCATGTCAGCTGCCCAAAAACAGTGGTTATTTATTAAGTGGCTGGAAAAACATTAACCTTCAGCAGCCATTTTGCAGGCATTTATAATGTGTAACATAATCATTAAATGACAATAAATCAATGTAAGGAATAAAGAAAGTAGAGAACAGATGCAGAGGTCACAGAGAAAGACGTGCTCACCTTGGCCAGCTCGTACAGTTTGACCCCCTCCTCAAACAGACCCTTGTTCTCGGCCTCTAGAGCCACTTTACTGATGATGGCTCTGGTGTCCCCGGCAAACTTATCTATCACTCCAGGCTACAGGGGGAGGAGGAGGAGGAGGAGGAGGAGGAGGAGGAGGAGGAGGAGGAGGAGGAGGAGGAGGAGGAGGAGGAGGAGGAGGAGATCAGAGTGAGATTAGACATTGACAGTTCTGATGATAAAGCAGAGAGTAACTATCATTGGTCTGACTGACTCCTAATGACTAAGGTATCTACAACATATAGACATCTGATTTACTGCAAGAGTCAACATTGTTCTTTATTTCAACATTGATGCCGACTCATTTCTTTCGTCGATTGATCTTAGTGCCACATTAACTGTATTATACTAAATGTTGGGGTTGCCTTCATAATACCTATTTGTAGTGCACCCTAAACTTAGAATCACAAACTGTCGAATATAAATAATCAGTGTAACCCTTGAGCAGTCAGTGTGTAGCTGACAGAATGACAAGGCCCTCAAGTACCTAGCACAGTACTGAAGGCACAGTGAAGAAACGTAGGAAGTGAAAGAAAGCTACAATAAAGAGCTTTTTAATCCAGGACAGTGGAATACAGAAAAGGAAGACCACCGTCTACCTCGGACTGACTGAACGGCCCCACACAGAGCAGGGACAAAGAGAAGAGACATGTAAACGTGTATTTAAGAAACACAACCACAGAGATGATGATGAGGGAGGTGGAGAGAACACAATGGACCTACCTTTCTACTGCCGTCCTTTTCTAACCTCCCCAACAGCATGTCAAACTGGAGAAGAAGAAATCTAAAAGTTATTTACTGCAACACCAGAAACACATTTATGACAACAACTACAACCCTATAATACATTCTACATTATGAAGCTCATCACATTCAGTCTCTTTTGCTGAAATGCATTATAATAAAAGGCTTTTCCAAAGTTATATTTTGAATTCTAAGAAACAAAACATCCTTCTCCACCATCTACTGAGGGAAAGGTTTTAGAATGTGTTGCTGTAAAACTCTTTGTAAAAATGAATTGTTTTCAAATGAATCAAACTGTGCAACAAATATTGTTCTTCTTGGGGTAAAAACCATATGTTTGTTCCCACCCCAAAGCTATTTAACTGAAGTATTGGATTGATCGGGAACAAAGAAAAACATTCAAATGGATATCTGCTCTGACCTTGTTAAAGGAACAAGGCTCCATCATGGATCTACTGACAGTTACATCAGCTGACCCATCGTCTAGTGCAGTGGTTCCCAACCTGGAGGGTGCAGGGGGGGCGCCAGGCCTCAGATGGTTTGAGGCCAAATATCATATTTAGATTTTTTTTAATTTAATTTTTTTACATATAATTGTAAAGCAATACATGATTGTCGCTAAAAGCCTTGTCTCTACATTACAATAAAATATCAAAAATAATTGATTAATTAATTTGAATAAAAATTCAAGTTAGTATTA